ACGTTGAAAAAAAAAATTAAAAAAATAAAAAAATAAAATAAAATTAGGTAAGTCAATGACTGATGGAATACAGATACTTCCAAAGGAATGAACAATTATCTAAGAACTAAATTTTGGGGGTGCCTGGGTGGCTCAGTCAGTTAAGCAATCATGAGCTCACAGTTCGTGAGTTCGAGCCCCACATCCAACTCTGTGCTGACAGCTCAGAGCCTGGAGCCTGCTTCAGATTCTGTGTTTCCCCCTCTCTCTGTCCCTCCCCCGTTCACACTCTGTCTCCCAAAAATAAATGTTAAAAAAAAAAAAATTTTAAAAAGAACTAATTTTAAACTGATACAGCTCAAAATGTATGTGTGTGTTTTGAAGGCTAACCAAAATTCTGTCTTAGTAAACTGTCATCTTAGAAGAAGTTTATTAGAGTAAAGGTCAATAAATTTAAAATATTAACTAATGAGATTTTCCCTAGTGCACATAAATCAAGGTAGTTACTGATAGTAACTGGTATCATCTTCTGAGGTATCATCAGATAATGGATAATGGTAATTTTAGCTAATGAACACTGTCAAACTGTATTAAAATAAGAACTTATTCACATCAAATGATAACAACTGTTCTTATGAATAATATACTTTTCCCTGGGTATTTCAAAAATAATGGAAATTTCAACTGTTTCCCCACTTTCATAAGTTTTTACACATATTACAATATTCTTTTATAAGCACTATACTTTTCTTTATATCCTATTATTTACCTTTAAGATTCCAGTCATACAATTCCAAAATATCTCTGAACAGGAATAACGAAAAGAGCTCAAGTCCTTTCACACAAAAATTCTGAAAAATAAACCAAAATCAAATTACTATACTACAGCAAATATATATCAACGAAAGATTCAACTTGTCCTAGTCAAGTGTCTTAAAAAATGTGTATTAAAACTATACTAAAATCATGTAATTTCCTAAAAAATATGGCCACTGTCCTATAAGAGCGAATTGGCTGGCTATATAAAGTAGGCAATAATGCCATTAGAATTCCTACAAAAATATGAACTCAGCCCTTCCAAACATACAAATAAAATGATGTGAAATTTAAAAATTAAAACCTTGTATTTTCCTAATCCACTTATAAATCTCAGAATTAGAATCTCCTAGGGACTTTTTGTTAATTCAAACTACACACACACACACACATACTGACAGGCTCTAATAGGTTTGTCCCCCAACCCTACCCCTGCTCACCCTTACCCTTCAAACACCCAGAATCACTATTACAGAGTTACCATAAAAAGAGGTCTTTTGTGCCCAAAAAAGTTCAAACTCTTAATGAAGGCAAATAAAGGGCTAAGAAAAACTACAAAACCTAGTACCAAAATTTCTCCCATCAACAAGCTTAACAGACGATATATTTACAAGTGAGACTTGTCTCCTAATTCTTCCCACTTGTCTTGCTCAGGGTTCACAAATCACCCTGTGTGAGATCACGCCAGAAGTCATCAACCTTTACAACAGCAAATGAAGGCTTATGACCTTAAAAATCAAAAGGAAGCAAAAAAGCCCTTTTAAGCTGGAGAATGAAGGGGTGGCCCCTTCTCTTTACTTTTTTTGAAAGACAGGTAGAATTCCCAGGACTCGCTCAGAATGAAGCAGGTACAAGCTAAGCATGTGTGTCGTGCTCGTCAATCCCCCTCAGTGCTCCACTGCCCGTGACAAAGCCGCACTGTTAAACAAGGTTCGCAAGAAGAGCTGGGGGCTCAGGAAATCGACCCCGACTCAACAAATGTTAAGTGCACAAGCTTGTTTGCTGTCTAGTTGCTATTTCTTAGTGTGATTTGTTGACACCACTAAATTCAAGATCAGGCAATGAATCATTCTGAGATTCGCATTAATCTTGCTTTGGAATTTTAAACCTCTTGCATATATTTAGATAAATCAGCTGCTGAGCATCCGCAATGAAAAACAATTAGGAAAAATATGTAAATATATGGGAAGAAAAATGAATCAAGCACTGATCTTGTCACTGGAGATAATGAATAAGATTATTCCAACAGCTATCAGATTCGGTTTCACTGTTCTAATTTCCTCTCCGATAACGACCAATAACCAAAATCTGTCCCCTTTTCCAAAACAAACTGGAAACAGATGTAAAGTTACCATCAGTAAATGCAACATGAGGAGAAAAAAGTTCCAAAACAGGTCAGTAGAAGTTGAAAAAGGACCCAAATTTTAACCTTGCTCCTAGAGCTACATCTCACTGCCCTTCCAACAGTGAACTCCACACTTTAAGGGCATTCCTATGGCAGATAGCCAGAGCTGACCAAGTTCAATGCTTTAAACAAATGAGTGTGAAATAAACAAAAGAGCAAACTATATGAAGCTATTAAATAACCTTTTCTCTTACCTCAGGCATCATCTCCTCAATGAAATGAATTGTGTAGTCTATGTTGAATCTAATTACTTTACACAGTGGAATCTGCAATAAGAAAAATGATAGGTTCAGTTCTTCCTTCACAGTACACATGCACTTGCTATCTGACCCAGAAGGCCATGAACCAAATGAGAAAGTTTCACCTTAACCTAAGCTGCTAACAGTACCATACACAGAGCTTTGACCACAACTGCTGGATTTGAATGGCAAGAACCCAGATAGCCTGGTCTCTATAGGAAGCCTGCATAATGTTGGTGCTTAATTAACTATCATGTTATTACATTAGCAGCAGCATAAATATGATAAGAACCCATTTAAACCAAATACATTGCCTCTAAAGTATTAATAAAACCACAATTAAATATTTCTTTTACTCAGGTTTTTAAAATCCTTCAGAAGCTTTAGCTCTTCAGGTACATCAGGGACAGCTGGATGACAACCCATTGGTTATAGATTCCTGTCACCAAAGTGCATATAACTCACTTTGAGTTTTGCTCCTGGCTCTGGAGCAAAAGCATACACAGTAATAAAAATAATAATAGCTAACAGTTATTGAGCCAGGCACTGTTGTACTACTTCACATACACCTATAAGATAGGCACAACTACTATCCCCACTGTACAGTGGAGGAAACTAAGGCAGGGTCATCAGCTACCTTGTCTAAGGCAAATGGGAGCTGGTAAATAAGAAAATTTTGCTCTAGACCACAGCTCTAAGGCACCAGAGAATACACCTTTCATTAGGTGTTCTAATACTCAAGGTCTGTGTGAAAATGAAGGAAGGCTCAGGTGAAATAAAACCACATCTATTTTGTTTGGTCATCAGACACTAGCCAAGGGCCTACATATAATAGGTTTTCCATAAGTATATTTTTCAATGAAGGAAGGAATGAGAGGGAAAGTGTGAGGCCACTGTAGTGTGTTAGCTGACTAGCTGGGGAAAATAATAGACTCAGAAGCCTAGAGATGTGTTAAGTAGGCTTTTCTGGCCATTCAATCTGCCCATAGATGATTTTATATAGATGCAATCTTTTTAGAAACCATAGCAACCAGAAACAAACTTTAATTCTACCACCAAAAAGAACGATAAGAAAAACAAAAATAGTCTTATAATGCCATCTGCTGGAAATGTGTTTCTCAGAAAAGAAGTTTAGTTCTTTGGTGCTTTTTCATTTTTTTTTAAGGATAGTGGCTAATTTGAGTGAAATTTATAGTTAACTCTAATAAGAAATCCAACTAACGTGATATACTAAGGCCACTATTATTCTTAAGCTCTTTATTCCTATAGCATATAAAAATATTTCAGTTACAAATGTGTGTATTACTCATATTTTTTAAATATTTATTTATTTCTGAGAGAGAGAGAGAGAGAGAGAGAGAGCGCACACGCGAGTGCGAGTTGGAGAAGGGGCAGAAATAGGGAGACACAGAATCGGAAACAGGCTCCAGGCTCTGAGCTGTCAGCACAGAGCTCAACGCAGGGCTCAAACTTACGAACTGTGAGATCATGACTGGAGCGAAGTCAGACACTTAATCAAATGAGCCACCCAGGTGCCCCTATTCATATTTTTAAATATCTATTCTTTGCTAACAATTATGCTAGGTTCGGAGTTACTCTAAAATAAGCCACAGCCTTTTTTAAAAGGCAAGAATCTAAAGAGGCAAACAGGCATGTAAACAAGTACAAATAGAATGCATACAATGTAACGTGTAAGTGCACCTGAAAACAAATAAGCAAACAAAAAAGTATAAAGTACAAAAGAACCAAAGAGGAGGTAACATCTGAGTTGAGTCTGCAAAGATGGGGAGAAATTTTCTAGGTCATCCAGAAAAATTAAGTTGGGAAAGAACAGGTGTTTAGTTTTTAGCAAGAAAGAGAAAAGGGAGCTGGGGAAGACTAAGTCTTTAAGCGGTTCAGGCGTGAAATACATGGAGAGAGAAGCAAGGAGATTTTAGACAGGAAAAGTATAAACTGTGTGCTACAGACTGTATAAACCATGTTACCGATTCAAGGCTTATCCTTATGGCAACGAGAGGTTACCCAAGTACTTTAAGTGAGAGAGTTTACATTTTGGATGGGCTGCTATGTAAACAGTGTGGCAATGGTTTATAGTAGAGCAACACCAGACACTGGAAGCCCAGACTGGAGTCTAATGAAAAAAACAGTCCAGGAGCCAAATGAAGAGAAGACTGGAAATAAAAGAGCAAATCTTAAACAAGGGAGATGTTAGTGAAATATACAATGACTGTTCTGATGTGGAAGTGAAAAAGGAAAGAGAGAATAATCTCTAGATTTCTGGCCTAATGAACAGATAAATCACAATGGCATTAATACAAAGAAATTCTTAGGGTGTCCTCTGAATACCTCAAATTCAGTATGTGAGGAAGAGGACAAGTTCAGTTTTGCATAGGTTGAAGGTGAGGTACTTGAGGGGATATCAAGGTGGATATGTCCAAAAGGCAATCTGAAATGTGAGTGTGGAGCACACGTCAAAGCCAAAAGTATCAATTTGATCAGAAGATGCATGGGAGGAAAAACCGTAGGTGAGACTGCATTACTCAGGAGAGAACATCCAGAAGAGAAAAGGACCAGAGCCCTTGGGAATAGCCCAAGAGGCAGTCAGCGAAAGAGCAAAAGTGTCAACTTGATTCCTCCTACCATGCGCAAAAGCAACTCCACTGGTCCTTTCCCATACCAACTAAAATCACTTCCTGGGATTCCTTCTTTGAGCTCTTCTCTTCTACATACTTTATTTTCTTTCTTTCATTTCTTTTTTTTTTTTTTCGAAAGAGAGAGAGAGAGTGAGAGCAAATGTGTGAGCTGGGGAAAAGGGCAGGGGAGGCGGGGGAGGGGGGTTGGTGGCAGCAGAGAGAGAATCCAAAACAGGCTCCATGCTCAAAGCGGAGCCAGACACAGGACTCAATCTCATGAACCAGGAGATCATGACCTGAGCCGAAATCAAAAGTCAAACAACACTTAAACAACTGAGCCACCCAGGTGTCCCTATACTTTATTTTCTTTTGGGCTCTCACCCACACCACTAGAGCTCTTGTGAGATATACAAATCTGGAAAGGCAAAGTCTCCTTTTCTATTCAAACCTTCATCTCTCTCTAAGACTCAGAGAATTTGTCATTTTTCTACATATGGCAAGCTCAATTTATTTCAAAACCAGTGGCCAATCAAATAATATAAATGCCTACCATTTCTTAAAACATGTTTGAATACTGACTGACACCAACTCTTATTTCATACTACCAAAAAGAAACAGAAAACACTCCCTAAACTTCTACATTCTAACTCTACTACTTCCAGGTGCTGGACAGCTAAATCCAGGGCAGTAAGACTACTAGAAATGGAAAGCCAACTAAAAGCAGGGGTTTTCTTGTGTTTTTGAGGACAGGACAAGACATGATGCATCTAATACATAGATCTTTATAACTTTAGTTATGTTGTCAAAATCTTTAATAATATCAGGTATTGCAAGTAATAGAAAATGTACTACATAAAAGGATAAAATTCTCCCAAATGCTCTATAGTTAGCCAACAAGGCTTTCAATCCACTTCAATTCAAGAAGATCTTAAGAAAACTTGTCAGAACTAGATTTGCTGAGATTCTAATGTTACCGTCATTTGCATGCCCTTCTTGCTGATATGCTCTCTCTAGCAAGAAAATGAATCAGATCAGTAAAGCGATTTAATAATTCTTTTTCTGGGAGGCTATTTCAAATTCAAGAGGCCTTTGATGGATCTAATCCCTATGAACTGTACAACATTCAGCTTAAAACTCGATTTATTTTATCAACATCTCTAACATAAATGATGAGGCTTATCTTCTCATTACAGAGTTAAGTTCTCAAATTTGGAGAACTTGAGTATTTATATAAAATATATGCTGAAGCCAGGAATTTTTTCAGACCTATCTTTTATTGCGTAACAACAGTAACAACTGCAATTAATGAAGCATTAGCAGCCTCTCAATGCCAAACCCTATGCTGACAGGCTTTTTAAAAAGTGCAAAGAATCACTCATCCAAGGTCACATAAATATTAAGAATTGGCTTAAAAAAAAAAAAATTAGAAGAAAGACACAAACCAAGGTCTGACATACTACCCGAAATAAGAAATGCCAACATGTATCATGTGCCAAAAAACATGACAAACACTTTTCATGTGTCCTCTCATTTATTTTTCCCAGAAGCTGGTAAGATTGCTACAACTAATACTTCTATCTTACAAATAAGAAAATCAAGGATTATAAAGATTGAAATGTCAAACCATACAGCTAGTAAGTGGAATTCACTAATGTTTAAACCCCTGGTTTCTCTGGAGCCACAATGCTTTCCTCCTTTGATTAAGGTGAGCCTGAAAGTTAAGATGAGATTACTTGTTTTTTTTTAAGTTTACTTATTTTAAGAGAGACAGAGAGAGAGAGCAAACAAGGGGGAGAGGCAGAGAGGGAGAATCCCAAGCAGGCTCCAAGTGGTCAGTGCAGAGCCCTATGCAGGGCTCAAACTCACAAAACCATGAGGTCATGACTTGAGCTGAAATCAAGAGTCAGATGCTTAACTGAATGAGCCACCCAGGCACCCCGGAGAGAAATAATCTTAAGCAGGCTCCATGTTCAGTGCGGAGCCCGACACGGGGCTTGTTCCCCATGACCCTGGGATCATGACCCGAGCCGAAATAAAGAGTCGGACGTTTAGCTGACTGAGCCACCCAGGCATCCCAAGATCTATACTACTTCTAAGGAAGTAAGAGATAAGATAGATAACTTTAAATATTTTCATAGTAACTAAATTATTTATATTTACAAGCCCACTGAGGGGAAAAAAGAAATGTATTATGTTGGGGGAGCTGGGCTATAGGACTTCCAATGGCCTTTCCTACTCTGAGACTATGAGGTTTGGTGTAACAAAAGGTTGGAGTGCCTGAGACATTAAAAAAAAAAAAAGTAAAGAAACCATCAAAATTCAAAATCCTTTTAGTGGCTTTTCATAAAGACTATTAAAGAATGGTTCAATGTAAAATTTTGTAACTGTGTTGTGATGGATGTTACTAAACTTCCTGTGGTGATCATCTCACAATATGTACAGATGTTGAATCATTACACTATGCACCTGGAATATAATGGTATATGTCAATTATATCTCAGAAAAAGAATGGTCCAACATTACATTCGTTTCTATATTATGGTCCACACTGAAGGTAGATGTTATATATATTATCAAATGATTTTATTTTTATATTTAGAATGTAACTATCTTCTAAAGAAAATTCTCTAGGATAAAATATATGATGAAGAAAAATTCCATTAAAAAAACAATCTGATTTGGGGCACCTGGGTGACTCAGCCGGCTGAGTGTCCGACTTCAGCTCCGGTCATGATCTCATAGCTCGGGAGTTCAAGCCCCATGGGCTCATACTGTCAGGCTCTGTACTGACAGCTGAGAGCCTGGAGCTTGAAAATTCTCTAGGATAAAATATATAGTAGAGTAAGAAAAATTCCATTAAGAAAACAATCTGCTTTGGGGCACCTGGGTAGCTCAGTCAGTTGAGCATCCGACTTCGGCTCAGGTCATGATGTCACAGCTTGGGAGTTCCAGCCCCACAGCTCGCAAGCTGTCGGGCTCTGTACTAACAGTTGAGAGCCTGCAGCCTGCTTCAGATTCTGTCTCCGTCTCTCTCTCTGCCCCTCCTCTGCTCTCTCTCTCTCTAATATAAATAAATATTAAAAAAATCAAAAAAAAAAGAAAAGAAGAGAAGAGAAAAGAAAAGAAGAGAAAAGAAAAGAAAAAAATACTTTAAATTAGTATCACTACTGGGGTACCCGGGTGGCTCATTCAGTTAAGCATCTGACTTTGGCTCAGGTCATGATCTCGCGGTTCATGTGCTCAAGCCCTGCGTCAGGCCCTGTGCTGACAGCTCAAAGCCTGGAGCCTGCTTCAGATTCTGTGCATGCGTGCGTGTGTGTGTGCGTGTGCATGTGTGTCTCTCTCTGCCCCTCCCCCGCTCGTGCTCACACTCTCTCCCTCTCTCAAAAAATAAACAAACATTAAATAAATAAATTAGTATCACTATTATAGAATCATGTCTACTTATAAAGAAAAAAGAATGACAGAAAGGAACAAAGTTAGGCAAATTTTATTCTTTACTCTCCAATGGAACAGAATTTCACATTTTGAGTAAACAGCACTTAAATAACTTTTTAAACTGCAAATGTAATTTCTTATAACCAATTCAGAAAGGATTTAAAGAACATTGTATTTTAATGCAGGCACATCACGGCTATATAATTTAGTAAGTTCTACAACAGCATCTAGACTGGGTAAAGTATACTGCTGTACTGCCTTTTCGAGCTGCCAGCAAATTGTACTCTATGTCCAACTAGAATACGGAAGAAGACAATTACCAAGACTGTTAGCTTTGAAAGAGAAAGATTTTGACTCATAGATACAGAACTTCCCATTTGAACCAATTACCAACAAAGCAGCTTTAATGCCTATATAAAAATATCACAGATCTGTATGTCAGACCAAATCTCTTAAAGAAGACATAGTCCTGGGATTTGAAAGCAGAAACTTGTATGAAATTAATTCAGGGTCCAAATGTCCTGTACACAGCGCTATTTCTTTTTCTATAGCTCCAAGACTAAATAGCCGCTCCTTAAAACTTTCCAACCTTCTTCTGAAGGACACCCAACTCAAAATAGCTTCAACACATTAATCCACAGTTTATCCTTCTTTTTCAATCTTTCACACTCTCAAAATGTTATTCTGACACATGTTTACTTACACCATTTAATGTAGACCAAACCTGTGACTCATTAGCACAGATGTCACACCCCCACCTGACACAAACCGCTGCAGACTTCCTGCAGCTCATGCAGAGGAACACAAAGTAAATGTTACTTAGAAGCCAGAAGAAAAAAATTTATTTTGACTTTTAGAGGGAAAGAATGAAAAGAAAGAAGAGGGTACAGGAAAGGAGAAAGCCAGTCAATTAGAACATACTTACATTGGTCAGGGGGGCATGTGCAAACATAGAAAATCCTTCAAAGATATACTCATGATCATCATATTCTATAACAGTTGGTCTGTCGGTCTGAAAACAAACAGAAACGCAAAGCATGAATTAAATAATATAATTTGCATGTGCAGAAATCCATAAGAATACAAAGCTATCAACAATGGACTCCACTGACATTTTTCTAAACTCCAGGGACAACTTTATACAAAAGTTTAATTTTAGGTGGAATTCTCTTGGTTGGTGGAATTCTCTAGCTTCAATAATATTTACATACTGAGACTATCAAAATGTTTATTATGGGTATCATAAAGGAGAAAAAGGCTATATGGCTTCATTTTCTAGGAACTTGTTGTATTTAATCCCACAATACTACCAGATCTATTCTTACTGAACTATATTTCTGACCTAACAAAAGTCCTAACAAGAACAAGATAATAGCACAGTCAACTCAAAGCTCAAACTGGAAAAAAAACTCAGGATCACGATAGTCAAGACTAGCAACCACCTGAAAGTCTCTGAAAGACGTCAGGGTGCCACAGGCACAACCCCTCAGCACGCATTCCCAGGCCCTCCAAAGAGAAGCTACCCACCACACACAGTTACAAATCAATTCCCACATAATATCAAAAACATTAATTATCTGAAAATTCAATCTGTGATTAAAACATACAATTGTTAATCTAAGTGTATGAGATTCTCTTCCTTATGCTATTCTTATAACCCACCATTTTTAATCCTAGATGCTAACTATGGAACTAATTATCAAGACTGGTAACTTAAAAGACAGTTTTTAACACAGGTATTGAACATTATTCTTTTAAACATTATATATACGTGAAGAATGGAAAGAACACGCTAAAGAATATCCACATGTACATTAGTTGTTTTGTACATTAGTAACATAATATTACTGTTAACTTTCTATTCGGATATCTCTAAATAAAGCTGGTCTAAATTAAATATAATAGAAAGAACTTCTGACAAGATAATAAGGTATAGCCACTTTGGAAAACAGCTTGGTAGTTCCTTAAACATACTTACAACGTGACCCAGCAACTCTAGTCCTAGGTTCATACCCAAGAGAAAAGAAAACATACACCCACAGAGAAACGTCTACAAATTTACAGCAGCATTATTCGTAAGAGCCCCAAAGTGGAGACTAGCCAAATGTTCGTCAACTCGTAAACAGGTAAATGTAGTATATCCATATAAGGGAATATTATTTGGCCATTAAAAAGAATGGAGTTTTATGTTACAACATGGGTGAATCTTAAAAACATGCTGAGTGAAAGAAGCTAAATCACATTTTCTATGATCCCATTCACATGAAATATCTAGAATAGGCTAATGATAGAGGCAGAAAGTCTCTTAATAGTTGTTGAAGGCTGAGGGATACAAAAGAACTGACTACATTAAGTACAGGGTTTCTTTTCAGGATGATGACAATGTTCTGAAATTAGATTCCGGTGATGGTTTCACAATTCTGTGAAAAGAATTACAACTGAAGTATACACTTTAAATGGGTGAATTTATGGTATATGAATTATCTCTCGATAATGTTAAAATATATAATCACTAACAATCTAATTTTGAAATTGAAATCTCTGGATACAAGTAACCAGAATTAATAAATTATGCACTGTGAAAGACAACAAAGTGCAACAGCCAACAGTCATGCACACTGCAGTCAAACTGTCTTAAATCCTCACTCAACCCTTACTATCTGAATAATCTTGAGCAAGTTACTTAACCTCAGAGTAAAACGTGGACTACTGCTCCATCTGTATAGTGGGGATAATAATTCTACTTCATTGGTTTGTTGTGAGAAAAAAGTTAACACATGTCAAATACTTAGAGTGGTTCCTGGTACCACAGTTGATAAATATTAGGTATTACTACTATTGTCATAAATACAATAGACCTTCTTGATTGCTAGCTTATATTAGCTATTCACGGATTTTTAAGAGATGCAAAAGTGTTCTGTGCATTCTTCCAACTCCCATAGCTCCAATGAATAGCTCCAAAAGTCATGGCTATTATGTATGTGGCTACTATGTGGTACTGACGACATAACTGAAAAAAAGGTACAGAAAGTAGTACAGTGAGAGGAAGCAAAATAAAAGTCATTATGATAAAGGCCAATTTTATCAAAAATAAAATATTTTTTAAAGAAAATTTAAAAAATGAATCAGTACTGAATCTATTCACATTTTAACTTACTTGCACACATTCAACCTATTTACATTTTAAAACAAATGAAATCTGATTTTGTTAGGAACTTACCAAAAAGTTTGTAGGAGGGGAGACTGTAATTCGATAGTGGAAAAGCCTGCCAGCATTGTTGGTCATAGGGCGACAGGGCTTGATGGCCTGAGGGGGGAACCAAAAGTGAGTTTAAAAGTAAAGTAGCAAATTATTTTTATTCAAAAATAGACTGTATTTTCTAGATTCACGTCTGACAAAAGAGGTTTTAAATGTGTTCCTTCACAGGTTGGTAGGAAGAACAGTATTAACAAGATGAGAAAGGACTGCCCGGTCACCAGTATTTAACCTATTTCCTCATGTGCAATAACAGGAGTTCAGACAACATAAAGAACTTTCTAGATCTAAATTTCTCTATCTTCCTCTTATTTGTAAAATAACACAATAATTGACCTTTGGCTAAACTCCCAATATACTAAAAAAAAAAAAAAAAAAAAAAAAGGGAAAAATAATCTCGAAAGTAATATCAGGTTTTGATAGGGGGAAAAAAACAGTAAAAGGATCAAATATGCTGAGTAAAATTAGAAGGTTCCTGAAACGAAGAACACATGAGAGGTGGCAGAATAGGGTATGCATGGAGGTCAAGATGGGAAAAGGAAAACATAAACTGATGCTTTTTTTTTGCTCTCCTTCCTTGGATCACCACGAGGTTGACAGGGGCTGTTAGGACTGACTCATAGTCCAAATAATCCCTCTGTCCAGTCTTGCTTACACACTCTTCCCCTCCCAGGCAAAGATCCCTAAGAAACACTGGGCACCCAAACTTCATCTTAGCATCTGCTTCTGCAGAATCCAGTGTGTGTAGCTCCAGGTATGAACCAAGAAAACCAGAGACAAGAAGGGATTTTGGATCTGAATCACTTAGCACCCACTGGCAATGAGGACCCCATCAAGGTGGTAGTTGGAGTCCCTGGCACCAGATGGCAGGCCAACTGAAACTTTCAAAGATGGTGAATTGGGAGAGTATACGAGCGGAAGCAGATGCAGTGTACCAGGTACTTAAGACTATGGAGAAAATGCGTGCTATAAGTATAATGGTATAGACAGCTACTGCTAAGCACCACTGACGCTGCACTAAGCCCCTCAAACTTTAGTGTGCTTTGAGATCACCTGGACAGCTTGCTAAATCTCAGATTGCTTGCTCCCCACCCCAGGGTTTCTGATTCAGCAGATGAAGAAGGCTACAAAACTGCATTTCTAAGAGGTTCCCAGGTAAAGCTGATGTTTGGAGAACCAGTGGTCCACAGAAATGTAACAGGAGATGGGGAGGAAAGGCAAGTGGAAGCCAGACGGACTGTTCGAGGCACACAAAGAAGCTCTTGTTACCTGCAGGGATCAGTCCAAGAGGACCAGGACCAAGTGCAGGGTCAGAATTGGATGGACCCTAAAGAAAATTACGGCCAACCAAGGTACTGACCAAGGGAAGAGACCTGGAAACCTGAGATGAGGACATACAGGTTTAACTCCTCAGACTCCCTGAAACCTTTTGCCTCTTCAGACGTGGACCATCCCTGTCTACTAAGAGCAAGCACTCACCTGTGTCTAAAGGCAATGTCCCTGTAAGGCAATACTACCTCCCCCTGTCCCAGCACCCATCAGTCTCCCCTCCCGGCCAACAGACCTATAATTAGGTCACAGCATAACCCAGCTGGGGAGGTGCTGAGAGGAGAGGTTATATCCCAAAGGAACTGCAAGAACTAGTCAGCATGTGCCAGCAGCAAGAGTCTGCACGGGACCAGATGAGAGTGGTTGACCAACAGGGCCAGAACAAAACAGTAGTTAGGAAAGAGTTAATTGACTTGGGAACATTCAGGATTCAAGGACACCAGATGTCAGGAACTGCCTACTAGGATGTCTCCTAAAAGCATGAAAAAGCAATGGCCCACGATGAGTGAAGTTAAAATGCCAAAACTGCTGTAACACAGAAGGAAGTAGTTCAAAGACTCAAGGAAGTGGGCACATTGGAATAGATATATTATCTGTAACTGAAAAATACACCAGATTCTCATATTCCGTGGGAAGGCCCAGAGCACATGCCAAAGGCCAAAAGGAATGTGTTGGTGAAGGGGCACCAGCCTCACTAGGAAGATCAGTGGTGGCCTTCTCTGCAGGCCAGGGCTGACTGTAAGAGAGGTGGTCACAGAGCAGAGCTTGCTGATAGCAATGTGGATGACAAGACTCTGAAACAAGGGAGGCAAGATGATGGGACTAATTGTTAGAAACCAGGTCTCATTATAACCAGCAAAATCAAAGTAGCAACCAAAGGGGTCTGGCTCACAGGGAGTCACGGAAGTAGTTAACAGAACATGGTGTCCTTAGGTAAAATGAATGGGTAGCTAGCAAAAATAATACTTAGTTTGTACCACCAGAAGAATCAAGAAAGGATAACCAAGAGGCTGAAGGTAGGCTGCCCCAATAGAAAGTCATGATCCCTTACCCAGTTCCAGGCCTACAGGAGGAAGGGGGCCCTACTAGACCTGGACAGGACAGGACAACCCTGTCCTTCCACCAAAGGGTATACAGTCATTTACCCAAATAACTGTACGTTGGGAAAAGGGGAATCCAGAGTGTTCAAGGAGTGTTGGACACAGCATCTGAATCAACACTGATACTTGGAGGAGACTAGATATATCACCCTAGTACACATGAGAGTGGGTGATATAAAGCTAAGGTAACAAATGGAATCTTGGTCAAGGTCTGGCTTAACTAGGTCCACTGACTACACAGATCTGCCCAGTGAGTGTTTCCCCTTGTCCCTGAATGTTTCATTGTCTTTGACAAAACTGGCAGATGGCACCACTCCACACTGGGTCCTTGCTCTAGAAGAGGAGTAAGAGCCATCATAATGGGAAAGGTCAAGCAGAAACCACCGAAGTTACCGCCATTCCCAACACAGGTATCAAAAATAGTATCACTCTGGGGGAATGGTGTAGATTAGTGCCATCCTTAAGGATCCAAAGACTCAGGAGTGACGATCTTCATCATAGCTTTGTTTAACAAATGGATCCTGGAGGATGACTACAGACCACCACAAGCTCAACCACGTAGAACCTCGGACTGTACCAGCTGCACCAGGTGCTACGGCATAGAGCTGATTAATATGAGCCCAGGTACAAAGTGTATAGGAACTGATTTGCTGAATGTATTCTTTTCCATCCCAATCGGAATGAAGATAAGAAATGGTTCGCATTCTATGTTTATTCACACAGAAAAGACAACATTTACAGTTTTGCTGCCAGGCTGTATTAACTCTCCCACTCACTGTCACAACAGTCCAAGGAACTCTTGACCTTCTGGACATACTGCAGAACATTGTAATGTTCCACTACATCTATGACATCATGTTTATCATCTAAAAGCCCTGGCAAAGCACACGTGCTCTGGAGGGGGAGAGATAAACCCCACCAAGACTCCAGGGTCTACCACAGCCACACCATTTTTAAGAGCCAATGATCTCAATACCAAGATATCAGTCCAAAGTAAAAGACAAATGATTGCATTGTCCACCTCCTACAATGAAGAAGAAAGCACAACACCAGGCGGGCCTCTCTGGGCTCAGGGGGCAGTATACCCCCACCCAGGGATATTGCTGCAGCCCACTCACAGAGTGGCACAAAAAGCAGCCAGCTTTGAGCGTGGCTCCAGCGACAAAGGCTTCGGCAGTTCCAAGCTGTAGTGAGAGCAGCCCTGATGCAGGGGCCAAAATACTCAGCAAATCCTACATTGTTGGCAGGAAAAGATGCTGAGGGGAGTCTGCGGCCATACTGGGAGAATCATAATGCTGGTATGTGGGATTCTGGGGCAAAGCCATGCCATCTGTAGTAAAGAATTATATGCCTTTGAAAAACAACCCCCAGTGTGCTAGTGGGCCATGGTGGATATGGAAGGCACGGCCAAGGGACAGAAACAGACATGTGGCTGAAGTGCCCATCAGAAGCTGGGTTCTGTCAGTCTCACCCAGGCAGAAGTTTGGAAGGGACCAGCAACATTCCATCCCAAGACAGAGGCCGTACGTCCAGAATCAGGCACACACAGGAGCAGCAGGCACAAACAAGCTGCGCAAGCAGGTGGCCCACCACTGCTGCACGAGCGCCCCTCCCTCAGCCGATGGCTGAGGACAGAAGGATGAAAGCAGAGGGAAAAGCCCAAGCTTGGTTTGCAGATGAGTCTGTCAGGGATGGGGGAGCAAGCCAAAGACGGACTGTGCCACAGCCTCGTTCAGGGAGGAATATGAAAGACAGCGATGAGGAGAAGTCTTCCCAGTGAGCAGAGTTTCAGGCAATGTACCTGGTCATCCACTTTGTGGGGGAAAAGTAGCCTGAGGTTAGAATATAGATGGACTCATGGCAGAAGCAAGTGGCCATGCCAGCTGGTCAGAGGCCTAGAAGGAAAAAGATTGGAAGATGAGGGATAAGAAAGTCTTGGGGTAGAGGTGCCTGGCTGGCTAAATCGGTGCAGCATGTGACTCTTGATCTCAGGGTTTTGAGGTTGAGCCCCAGGCTGGGTATAGAGATTACTTAAAAAATTGTTTTAATCAAAAAAAGAAAGGTCTTGGGTAGACCTGTGAGTGAACAAGTGGGAGTGAGTGATGCCAAGTGTACATCAGACAGCACACACCACAGAAGAGGTACTAAACCACCTGACTGACATATGACTCGGTCAGATGGAGTCAGCCAGCCTCAGCTGTCAGCTACCCAGAGTTGACAGTATGGGCACATGAATGAAGTGGCCACAGTAGCACATGAGCCCAACAGCATGGACCTGACTTATCAAGGCTAAGCTGGCTAAGCTGACTGTCAACGCCCAACATCCAACAGGCCATCTACAATGACCAATGATGGGCCCCTCAAATGGCACCATTCCTTGAGGAGACCAACCTGCCACTTAGTATGCACTTGATGACATAGGCCCCATCGATCTTGAAAGGGCCAGGAGTTTGCTCTCACAGGAATAAACATGTACTGAGTATGGGCCTGTCTTCCCACAGGTCTTCAGTTAGCACAGCCAGCCACCTGGATCTTCCTTCAAGGAAGGGCCTGCTGCCCAGCTGTGAGGACAGCAGACAGCCTATAGCTACCAGCTCTTTCAGGGTCTGCCTCTGCTACAGAGCCCCCTCCCCCAAGATCATGCCCTTCCTGGGGCAGCCTGCTTAGGGACAGAGGGCAGTGGGGGTGTGAAGGCTATGCCAGCCTGATCTAAGACAATTCCAGTAATTCTGGCTTTAAGACACCTGTCCATAACTGGTGAACTTCTCCCTTTGCTCAATCCTGCCTCCACTCTCTTCTTGCCTAAACCCCATGAAACATCTCACATCGCAAACTCTACTGCAGCACCCGCTTTCAGAGAGCCGCGTCTGAAGCACAGGTGTGGACACTCACAAGGTGCAGATCCTGTCCCTCAGTTCCTAGCTACACTTGCTGGTACTCAAAGACAAATGAGGTAAAAGCAAGGAAGTGGTTAAAAATATCCATCATTGTCTCATAGTCTTGATTCTAATTATTATTATAGCCCCAAACAAGTTTTAAATAGTAATTAAGGATTTACATATACTATTTTTAAATATAATGTGCTGAATCATTAAGTGACAATCTGGGATTAATAAGAGTAACATAAAATAAAAGATGGCGGAGGGAAATGATGGAAAATCATTGAAAGGGAGCAACTACATGTAACTCTATGATATAAAGTATTCAACTCATTCGGTTCAACATATCTGGAGTGTCCTTGATGAACCAGGGGATGGGGCACAGGGTAAAACAGTTCACACACCACTCAGTCAGTGAGGACAAAAGACTAACAAAGACTAACGGAGACAACAGCAGACCCTTACATACCCCAAAGGTAAGAGAACACGTGCCTTAGTAAGATCATTTTTCCAAAGTAACTCATAACCATTTATAAGAAAACATGAAAAATTTCACTGTATGCACAGTTTTAAGATATGAATAACAACAAAAACCCCTCAAATACACCCTGCCTATTTCAAATAATGAAACTTCCAAACATTTTTAAGTTTCCTTGATAACATTCCCTACTCCCACCCCAAAACCCAAGTACTTTTCTTCTCCAATTATCAGTAACAGAGACTATTAGGGGAAGATAAAAAGACTATTTTGATGGTATTATTTCATTTATGGGAAAAGAACAGCAACAGCATCTGTCTACTTCTGGCTTCTCAGCACTTACAAATATAATAACCCAAATCGGTTACCTCTTCTCCAGGATAAATGCTGTGCCTAATTCCTGTGCGTCTCGCTTTGGCGCTGCATTTGCAGAGTGGCCCATCATTCATCTGTCAGAAACAGAATGTAATTCTTTTTTATTGGGGGGAAAATCCACACCATGCACAATGATGCCTCAGAAACTGTGTGGGTTTTAATGTCATGAGTACGGAAGTTCTGAAGAGGCTGTCATGGTTAGAAGATTAAACGGATGTTCCAAAACCAATAAAGCTGCAAACTGTCTATATTGTCTGATAAAGGGAAACTGTATGACACCGCTGGATTCCCAAGTTATTTGTGCAACCAAGCAGAAAATATCAATGTCACTGCACTGTTTGCCCCCATCTTCTCTTACCACTTTTCAGTGTGTTTCTCCTATTTCTTATTTCAGGAAAAATGACTCTTTCACAAAAGAAAAGAATATTTTATACCCTGAAGGAACACACAGAATGCTTTGAAGGTGACCTCCAGATTTAATGTTTCCAAAAGAGAAACCTAAACGTATCCAAAGCAGAGGGGGGAAAAAAATGCCACTAGAAGCAGAGTAGCATTAGCTCAGTGCTAATCAGGTGAGTCAACATCTGTTTTTTCACCTGAATTCGTTTTACTGCCATGAACTGCACCCACATGATAAGATGAGTGAATAATTCCTGAGCGCCTCTTGGGCAGAAAGATGGTTGCTAAGCATTGTGGGGGGAAGGAGGGTGACAAATAACTCAGGTATTCAAGGAATATTTATTCTATACAGGAGAGATAACATACATATGATATACTTAGTAATTTAAAGAAAAAGGAAAAAAGTCCAGGTGGAGATACCACTGGCTTCAGAAACAAAATGTGAAAGGCAGAACAGGACAGGAGAAGAAGATGGCTATTCTACACAAGGCACCAGCATGAGAAAAAAAGGGAAGGAAGAAATCCTATGTTATGCTCCAGGGACATGAGACCCATCTAAACAGAATAGATCATTTACGTCAGCAAGAAGACTACAGAAGCAGAACTGAGGTCAAAATCATCAAGGGCTTTAAAAGCCAGTTTCGTGAGTTTATTCAATACAGATGGTAACAGTGAATCAAAAGAGAGACCAGAGAGCATCAGTTTGGAGAAGGGAGAATCCATCTCTCACTTTCTCGGTATTATTATAAAATATGTATGTGTTAATATGTATATGTTATATATATACGTATATATATACATATGTATGTACACAACACACACATAACACACGTTTCTTTAAAGTTCTAGGGATTTATAACTCACATCCAAGGAAAATGTCTCAATAAAACTTTGAAAAGAAGTATTAAAATGAAAAACTATAACTTTCTTTATCCTTTTGTGAAATCTAAGGCTTCAGGTAGCACAGCAGAGGAATAACATTGCTATGTAAAAAAAAAAAAAAAAAAAAAAAAAAAAAAAAAAAAAATCACATTAAGATATTATTCAGGGGCACCTCAGTGGCTCAGTTAACCCTCTAACTTTGGCTCAGGTCGTGATCTCATGGTCTGTAGGTTTGAGCCCACGTCGGGCTCTGTGCTGACAGCTCAGAGCCTGGAGGCTGCTTCAGATTCTGTGTCTCCCTCTCTGCCCTTCCCCAGCTCATGCTCTCTCTCTCTCTCTCTCTCAAAAATAAACATTAAAAAAAGTTATTATTCAAAGTAACAGTTGGCAAACAGTGATGTGATGGGATTCCTTCAAAAATCACAACACACTCCTAATGCTGGTCAGTAGAAAAATCACTTCATCCTCACTGATTTGCAAGGATGTAGACAGACATCCTAATTCCTGCCTTTTACCAGTCTTGGCCCCAGTGCAAATCAGCACTTGACAAGGTTCAACTATACAGAGGACATGAAACTAAACAGTAAACAGAAGAGTGAGACTATCTATATTGGAAGCCTCTGTAATCTCTAATAAAAATAAGAATGGACATAAACTGAGGGATAGGCTTCCTGATAGAACTATGTGCATTAAAAAGACCACACACGAGGAAAGGGGAGGGACAACTAATGGACACAGGATTTCTTTCCAGGGAAACAAAAATGTGCTAGAATTAAATTGTGATGATGACTGTTAAATCTTGTGAACAGAAACACAAAAAATGAATTGTATACTTTAAGTGTGTAAACTGGATGGTATGTGAATTATAACTCAGTAAAGCTATTCACAGAGATCATATACATGGTTAATAAGTCAAAGTAAGTTTCAAAACACATTTGCAATTTTTAAACATTTCTGCTCAATTCCAAGAGAGCAAAAAGCACCACAAAATACATTTCTGTTCAGGTACTCCAACTATATTAATTGTATAAAAAAAAAATCCAACAAACCACTTAGATAGCAGTCATCTAATAAGAACCAAAAAAGCATTCAAATTAATATAAAGTATCTTTTTATAGGTGTATGTTTTATTAAGCTTAATAACTTCATGTGCATTAAAGATACTATTTTTGCAGGTGTTGTATATTTGTAAAATAAATCTTTTATAAAGATACTATTTGGTATTAAGTATTACTTCATAATAAAACAGTAAGTAAAAATAAAATGATTATGTCCAGCCATGACATCGTTAGCTCAAAAATGCTTAATAGGAAAAGAACTTATAAGTAATTATGACTATTACCAGCTAAGAAATATGAAGTCTTACAGGACTTATTGTTTACTATATTGCTGCAAGATACCTTCCAGATGAATTGCTTTTAAAAACACCTACAAGTGCTCTCTCCCTCAGCCTACCATTTGTCTCTTTCCGTTTACTGCAACTTTAATGAGGCAGCACCATTATCCTGCTCCCTAACATGGAATTTACAAACATCGTCAAACATGATTCAAGAGACAGTTGCTCTGGTACTTATGCTTTGGTGCCGAACTCTGAAGCTGAAGAGGAATAAGCTCTGAGGGATGACACACAACCCTGAGAGTAAAATTCAGTTTTCATACTAGCCAACATGCATATTCTGAGCCCGGAGTCATAAATGTGATGTGTGGGTTTGCAACCTTTGTAGCAAGAACACGGCATAAAAACATGCACACCTGGCCTGGGTCATTGTACCAAAGTTCATCGTGAAGTCGGTCAGGGTGGGCTTTTTTACGTTTTATTTCCGCAATGACATCAAAAACTTCAGAGTCTGAGCTGCTAGAACAGGTGCTGTCCTCATCAGACTCACATTCGGATTCACTGGAACTCTCTAAAAGAGGGCAAGGGAAAACAGAGAAGATGAAGAAATTTACAATTGTTTTTTCTTTCAGTAAACATTTGGGAGCCTATTCCACACCAAGCACTCTGCTAGGCAATACCAGGAAAATAATGCAGCCCATACTGCTAAGTCACAATCTAGTTAAGAAAGCAATGAAAACAAGAGTTTTAGAGAAAGACCTAATGAACAATGCCAGGGAAAATGCAAACCACAGCAGCGGTATGGAGTCTCACATTTAAAAAGGTGTAGTAGTAAAATAATAATAATAATAATAATAAATAGATAGATAGATAGGTGTAGTAATTCAGAAAAGGGCGAGTCTACCCTGACTCAGGTCACTGAGATTTCCTGGAAGAGGTGCACATGACCCAGGCACACGGATGGGGTGGAGTTTGGCTGATGAGCGGGTAAGAGGAAAAAAATGCAAAGGGGGCACTCAGGCAAAAGCATGGAGGGAGGAGCACAAGCACTGGACAAAGGCCCCACAGAAAAATACCAGGAGGTAAGGGGTTTAAGTGTCACAAACGCCAGACTGAAGGTTCTGAGTACCAGACTGAAGATTTTAAATTATTTTCTCCTCCCCATAGTAGCAATAAAAGATTTTAGTCCTTGAAAGTGACTGGATAAAAACAGACTAAGGATTATGATAAGTGATATAAGCCAGTCACAAAAAGACAAATACTACGTGAGTCTACTTCTATGAGGTACCTAGTATTCATAGAAATAGAAAGTAGCATGGTAGTTGCCAGAGGCTAGGTGGAAGGAGGGACTGGGGAGTTAATGGATACAGAGTTTCAGCTGAGCAAAATGAGTTCTGGAGACAGCACACAATGTAAATAGTCTCAAATACTACTGAACTGTATACTTACAAAATGGCTAAATGGTACATTTACTGTTCTGTGTATTTTACCATAATTAAAAAAACAGACCTAGGGGTGCCTGAGTGGCTTAGTCGGTGACTCTGATATCAGCTCAGGTCATGATCTCATAGTTTGTGAGTTTGAGCCCCGCACTGGGCTCTGAGCTGACAGTGCGGAGCCTGCTTGGGATTCTCACTCTCTTCCTCTCTCTGCGCCTCCCCTGCTCATGTTCTCTCTCTCTCAAAATAAATAATAAACTTAAAAATATATATATTTATGAAAAAACAGACCCAGAACTTACATTACTCCTACAAGAGATTAACAGTACATCACAGTAATAAAACCCAACCCCGACATGGTTGGATTCTTGAGTACTGCATGAGATAGACGCTGTTCATCCTCCTTTTATAGATGAGAAAAGTAAGGCATGGAGAGAATGAAATCACTTGCCCAAGGTCATATAGCAAGTGGCTGAGCAGGAGTCTGAACTGAGGTTCAGTCGGTGCTTTTACCCACCATGGACGCTGCCTCTCAGCTGGGAAAATGAAGGTGGCAGATGAGAGCCAGAAGACAGGGAAAAGGCACAGGGAGTGCCTGATCTATGAATGGCTTTCTGTTAGGGGCTAAGGCTGCAAAGTGGTGAAAAGCAGTTTCTATCCTCAAAGATCTCAGCATCTACTTGGAACCTCATAATACACATGAAAAAAAAATAGATCACCACATGATAAAGTTATGGAAACTATCCATATGAGTTGAGAGAAACCTTCAATCAGAACTGGCCTACAGCTGGCATTTCCTCATCAAAGCAGGAGCTCCCTAGCAGTGGAGAGAGCCACAAGGGAATGCCTGCCCATTAGAGGCACAGGTGACAGGGAATAGACTCCTGCTTCTGGTGGAGAGGCTGGACTATGGTGCTGATTCTAAGACTGGACAGTTCTACAAGGGACACAACTGTTAGCATGCCTTACAAATGAGATCGCTTATGTATTCTGAATGCAACTAAGGAAAAATAAGATCAAAACAGAGAAAGTTCTACTTTTATATATATTGCTACTATAGTTAAGGAAAATAAATGAAAAAGAGGAAATTTCAATATACGACTCTCAAGAACATATCCCCAAAGCCAAGGTTTAAGCAGTAACAGGAGCACAGGGCCTTGGTCTCGTAACTTCTAACTCACCCAAATCTTCATCTAGCTTTGTCTTAGGAGGCTCCCACGGAGGTCTAGCAGCTTTGGCCTTTTCTTGCCTACTCCCCAGTTCTTCCTCAAATTTGTCGTATAAGTCACGGAGCCTACTTGTTCCAACCACAGTAGAATCTCCCTTTGAAAAATAAAGAATCAATATTAGGAACTACATTAGTAATAGCCATACCAAAGATACATACAACCTCACAAATAATCAAGGATTTGTAACAGCAAGATGCCATTTCCTTCAATTTAACAAACATTTAAAAACAAAATGGCCAATGCTGGCATGGGTGTTCTGAATCACACACATTTATGGCTAACACAATCTTCAGGAAAATGTACTTGCCAACATTCAGAAGAAATATAAAAACTGTTCACCTATGCCTTTTGATATGAAAAAATAAATCATGACCCCCGCCACCCAAGAATTCATGATATCTGACACTCTGCTAGGGAACATACATTTCCCCACTACTGAAAATCACTGATAGTCTATCTTCCACATCAACCCAATGATCAAACATAAATATCCTTATGGAATGAAGAAGTCACAGGAGTAAAAGGCACAGCATAGGGAATACAGTCAATGACATTGCAATGGTGACATTGGCATTGCATGGTGACAGATGGTAGCTACACTTGTGAGCACAGCATAACAAAGATGTTGAATCACTATGTAGCACACCTGAAACTAATGTAACATTGTCAATTATACTCAAATAAAAAATTTTTTTCAAGAACATAGATCCCCTCCTCCACAAATACACCCTATAAAACACAGGAACACAGACACACACACACACACATACATGCACACTCACGTGCACACACCCATACACCAACACACCCACACTCCACAAACACAGGATTCTACAATGCATTCCTAGAGGAAACTCTCCACTTTCCCCCACTCTCTCTTCCCAGGATGAAATCACTTTAAATGTCCATATTCTTCAACTTAGTAGTTTCCAAAATGTAAAGACCAGACCTATCAGACAGAAAAAGCAAATTAAAGCAAATCATAAAATCTGCAGTTATCCCAAAAGAGGATAATTGCTTTTCAAAGCCCCAGCTCATTACTGACACTGGCAATGCGAGGACAGCTGACATTCGTGCCACCTCTCTGCACCAGATGACAAAACACAAAGGCAAATGTTGGGCTTAGTTTATTAGCCTTCCTTCTACACCAATTTTAATATACTCATAAAATATATAAGGAAAAAAACTGCCTGTGTAAACTCTTTGAACCTTTGCTATTTTATTTTGTTTTAAGAATAATATCCATGGCAGCCATTCTCCTTTTCTTCTTTGCTAAAAGAACCATGATTCCCTTCAGATTTGGGGTAGAGAATTCCTGGTCTTAGGAAAAGTGGGTTTAGAGTCCCCCTCTGACCCTCAAAGATGTCCCTGCCTTAACACCCAGGAACTGAGTATGTTACCTTATGTGGCAGAAAAAACTTCGCAGATAGTGATTAAGGTTACAGACTTTGAGAAGAAGATATTATCCTGGATTATCTGGATGGGCCCAATCTAATATGAGCCCTTAAAAGCAGAGAACCTTTCGAAATGGAATCAGAGGTGCAAGGGAAGAAGAGGCTGGAGATCCTCAAAGCACAAGAGACACGCGACCTGCACTACTGGTTTTGAAGATGAAGGAAGGGACCTATGAGCCAAGGGATGCACATGACCTCAGGATGGTGAAAACAGCCTTCATCAGCCAGCCAACAAGGACGCAAGGACCATCCTATAGCCACAAGGAACTGAACTCTGCCTATAACCTGAATGAGCCAAGAAAACAGATTCTCTCCAGAAAGGAGCACAGCCTTGTTTGATTCAGCCAGCAACACCTAAGTTTGACTTCTGACTTACAGAGCTGTGAGATAATAAATGTGTGCTGTGGTAAGCTATAAAGTCTGTGGAAATTTGTTATGGCAGCAATGGAAAATGAAGCCCTGGGAAAGACATATGATACAGTTCTGGGGAAGGAATAGAAGGAAAGATCCATGGGTACGCTGGGCCCCACACAGCACTGCCCTTGCATCCTGTGTCTGGACAGACGTGTGTAAGAACATGACACCTGCAGTCACCCTGCAACTCACAGTGGATGCTCCAAAAGCAGCAGATAGCAAACTAGAGCCAGCTCTGCCATCACTGAGCCACTAAATGTACACCAGCCACCACTTCCTTCCAGACAACTTGTTGAGAAAAACAAACCTGGCTCACAGTTTAAGTCACAATTCGTCAAGTATTATAATTTACAAACATGCTTAACCAACAGATACCTTCTTTCCAGGACTGTTTTCAGAATTAAGTAAGATATGAGAAGCACGAGTAAAGTTGCACCATAAAATGCTCAGCATGAGCTTTCCCTTTCCTGTATCACATGAACCATGACTTAAAACCCTGCTCTAATTTATCAAGTAAAATATCACAGCATCATGAGATTTCTCAAATTCTTTTTCCCAAAGACAAGAGAGTCTACTTTTACGTTCTCTACAGATAAGAGCCCAAGCCAAGTAGAAGCTATTTCCACAAAATTCCAAACAGAATGTTCTTTTATCTAACCCCATACACAAAATCTACCATCTCCAACCACTTACATCTCAGACCTATAGACGATCATTCCTTCACTCATCCATCTAATCAATGAGCGTCACTCTGTGTCTACCCTGTGGCAAATAGGCCTAAATTAATGGGATGGAGTCCTAACACCTACCTGGAGAAAGAGAGAGACTAAACAGAGAGTGACCAAAAATAAAATGAAGATAAAAGATAAAAAAGGCAAAAGAAACAAGTATACGAAAGAGGAAGTCATGGAGTCTGACACAACAAAGACTCCACATGGGCTGCGGAGCCCAGGAACCTCCCCTTGAGCAGCCTGTGCACAGGCTCTCTCAAGAGCCCATGAAGGGTGATAACCCCTGCCATTCCACAAAACCAGCCAATATGCATGGGAAACTTCCTGTGGTTATCTCTGGTCAAGGTCAGACTTCTAAGAGACAAACTCAAAGTCTTCCTTATTTCCCATGTTGGGGGGGAAATGTACATACAAACACAACCACAAACTGCATAAAGCAGTTATGTGTGAGAACTTAGAAAACCACCATTATCAAGACTAACAGTGTTATAAAAATGCAGAACGAAGAGATACTTTAATCTACCGCACTCTTGCCTTTGGTTGTGGAAGACAGCTTTGGTCTACAGCAGTGATTCTCCACCGGGGAGAGGGGTGGAGGGCATTTGGCAATGTCTGAAGACAGCTTTGGGTTCACAACTGGGGAGTATCCTGTGCACAGAACTCAAGAGAGGCTGCTCAACATCTTACAATGTACAGGATGGCACCCACCACAAAGAATTACCCAACTCCCAATGCTGAAGGTGCCAAAGTTGAGAAACCCTGGTCATCGCTTCTCAGACCTACCACCTGATCCATGGGGTCACTCGAGTAGTAGTTTTCTGAGTGGGTGCATCGAATCCACACCGGCTTAAGAAGTTCTTCTTCCTCCTCCTCATTTTTGTCAGGCAGTGTCTCCTCTGGCTCTTTTTCCTTCATTGAGGTATAATTCTTCTCTTTGCCAGAGCTCTGGCTGTCACTCCATCTGTCTTTTTCTTCCTCCCAACGAGCTCTCTTTTTCTCCCTACTTGGGGAGCGACTTTAAAAGGAGGTAAAAGAGGCTAATTATTTAAAATGTTCTTATGTTGTAAGATTATTCTATTTCACCTGTTTAGTTCATTTTTTCACCTAAAATAAAAATGCCATACCAAATCAACATATTTACTTTTGTTAAACCAGTGATTCCCAAACACTAGTCTGGTGGCATCAGAATCACCTGAAGTTAGTTGTTTAAAAATACAAATTCCCAGGCCCTACCCCAGATCTACTTACTGATTCACAGTCTCCGGGGGTGGGGCCCAAGAATCTGTATTTTTAATAATCTCCCCAGGTAATTCTGGTGTGCATCCAGCAGGTTCAGGGACAACTGGAAAACCATAACTCCTAGAAGAGAAAGATATTTCGGAAATATTTGAAAATCTCCACATATGGACAATCTCAGCAATGAGAATACTACTTTTGAATCCTCCACAGCTTGCTTTGCCAAGGGGTAAAAAAAAGGCTTCACAAAACACAGTCTCAATTTGGCCATAAATTTAGCTTGAGGACCATAATCTAAGAGAAAATCAGTTATATCATCCCTAACCATCTCTCTGGAAGCTCAGACTTGGGTTACTACTTAGTGAACCACCACTCTGTCTAATTCTGATCCCTGCAAATACTGATATTAATTCATTTAAAAAGGATAAAAACAACTCGCTCTCCTTGAATTTCTAGGGCTTAACATGTGCAAAGGCCTATCCTATGGATGTGTTTAGAGAGAAAAACCTAAAGGACAGGTTTTAACTTGACACCCAAAAACTTAAATGCAACCATACATACCCTGAGAATCTAGCCAAGGAGAGAAACTGTTGTATTAGTATTATGGTAGCATCCTCTGCAGCAACACTAACAAAGTCACTATTATCCAAGAAAGCTCACATCTGGATCAAAGTCACAAATTAACTATTCTCATCAACTCTACCACTAACTTCTAACTTTATGACAGGGAAAGTGTGAGTATGTAGGTGTGTATACATCGAGGGGGAAAGGGTGGGTAATTAGATTATGTATTGATTACTTATTGATATAACTTCTAAATATTACATTTTGTTACCAGAAAAGTTACTGTAAAGTAAAATATACATACGCCCACTGTAGAAAAATAAAGCATTAACAAAAAAAAAAACAAACAAACTCGTCATCCATAAAACCACTAAGAAATAACTGCTATATTTAACAAATGGGTTAAAACCTATAAATATGACAATATATACATAAAAATACACACATTTAACAACAACAAAAAAGCACACAACTCTATAGCTTGCCATTCTCAAAAGAAATCAGGAATACCCTTCAATAAGCATCCATTCCTGAACCACTTTTAATAGGTGCGTATTATTGATCTACACATGTATGCCATAATTTAACAAATCTGATCATAGTCATTAAGGTTACCATTTATTTTTTTTGTCATCATAAACAATGCCACTGTGAACACACCTGCATTCTCTGCAACCTGTCAAATTATTTCACACAAAGAATGTGTACTTTTTTTAAGGCTTCTCTATAGATAGGTAGTACTAGTCTAGACTAAAATCAAAACCATATGGGAGTTCCCATTTCTACACATTCTGTCAACATGACTGTTTTTAATCTCTGCCATTCCAATGAAAGAAGTGTCTTATTTAACTTGCAATTTTTTTTATCACTATTGAAATAACGTTTCATGGTCACTTCATTTATGAACAGCCGAGTCATATGCTATGCCAGTATTGTTAAAACTAGGAGTACAGTCTTTTTTATTTATTGAAAAACTTTTTTATTAAGATAACTGCCCTTCTGGGGTTCCTGCGTGGCTCAATCAGTTGAGCGTCCAACTCAGCTCATGGTCTCATGGTTCGGAGTTCAAGCCCCACACCGGGCTCGCTGCTGTCAGCACAGAGCCTGCTTCAGATCCTCAGTCTCTCTCTCTCTCTCAAAAATAAATGAACATTAAAATAAATAATAAAAAGATAACTGCCTTTCTGTCAAATGTAATGTAACCTTTTTCAGTTTTTTGTTTTCCTTTTAATTCTGTCTATTGCTACATATGACTTACATGGCCAAACCTAGAGATCTTGTTTATACTGCCTGCCTTAGTGTTATGTTTGGAATCCTTTCCCATCCCAAAATTAAATAAATATTTTCTATTTTCTTCAGTTACTTTTTAACATTAAATTTTTTTATTCTACCTCTCTAAGATATAAGGCATAAATCTAACTTTAGTTTCTTCCTCCATGTTTTGTCAATTGTCCCCACATCAGTTTCTCCTCTGATTTGAAACAATTTTATGACAGAGGTAAATTTTTTTATATATACTTGAATGTTGCTCAATATTTGGAATATTTTATACCCATATCAAATTGTTTTAATAATTATGGGTATAGAACATTTTAATTTTGCTCAAATATCCCTGCATTATTATTTTTCATTATTCTCACTTCTATTTTAAATCATTATAAAGTTTAAAAACCCACAGTTCAACTGAAGTTACGTTACACTGTACATTATTTTGAAGAAAACTGGTATTTTTACAACACTGTCTTCTACTTCCACTATGGGAATACAGCATGCCCTCCATTCATTTACGTCATCTTGTCATCAGCTACACTGATAGTTTTCTTCACACTGATCTGTATTTTTTAAGCTTATCAAGATATTTTATTTTAATTAAAATTTCTGTAGTGAACGTATATTTTTTCCCCATTACATTTTCTTAGGTGTTTCTGGTATTTAGGAAGGATATTAATTTTGATTTTTTTTTGTTTGTTTACAACTGTCAACTTCAGTGAATTATTCTCATGGTTTCTTAGCTGATCCTCTTGAATTTTCCTGCTAATACCATTAGCTAATAATGGCAACTCTTAGCTCCCACTGGTATGGCTTGGTTTGTATGTTTATTTTAGTGCTTACTGCAAGCCTGGCACTCTGCTAAAGCATTTTACTGACACTCACATTTCACCCTTAGAAGAATCCTATGAGGCAGATATGAACATCTCCTACAGAGGAAACAGAATTAGAAACTGCATCACTTACCCATATTCCCAAGCTATTAAAGTGGTAGTTAAATGCTAATATGGTTGTCTAACACAGACATTTTGACCTGTACTAAAAGCCCATGAAATGTTTACTATTATTGTCAAGAAACATGGGCAAAAATATCCTCACTCCATTTCTCTTAAGGCAGGTGTCTTGAATGATGGATGGCCAGGGTTGTCTGCTGTGAATATCAATTAATGTTCTTTTTCTTTTTCTTTTTAAGATTTTGAGAGGGTCATTTCAAAACAGGGGCAAAACATCTTTTTTAGCTAAGTGTCTCAGGCACTCCAAACTTCAAAATTCAAACTACAAATTGTTTCTTAACAATAAGTTATAGTACAGGCTATGATAACTTTTCTTCCTTTGCAGTATGTACATCTATGATTTTAATTTTCTCATCCACTGCATTAGTTGGAACTCACAGAATCCAAGTTTCTGCCTTCCCCACAAGCTACTGGGCACAGGAGAAGAAAACCACTAGACTGAAGATGTTTCCAGCACTCTACATTAAAAATCACCAACCTGAGGGGCGCCTGGGTGGCGCAGTCGGTTAAGCGTCCGACTTCAGCCAGGTCACGATCTCACCGTCTGTGAGTTCGAGCCCCGCGTCGGGCTCTGGGCTGATGGCTCAGAGCCTGGAGCCTGTTTCTGATTCTGTGTCTCCCTCTCTCTCTGCCCCTCCCCTGTTCATGCTCTGTCTCTCTCTGTCCCAAAAATAAATAAACGTTGAAAAAAAAAAAATAAAAAAAAAAAAAATCACCAACCTGAAATGGGTCCTCAGTAATATCTACCAACACAGTGTCTGGCTTTTTTTCCTACCCTTATCTCCTCTTCAGGCCCTTTCTCACTGAACAAACTCTAGCTAATCTCATCTATCCTTGGCATTTAGTATTTCCAGCTGGGATCTCTTTTCTGGGCTTTACACCTGTGTAACCAATAAACTGCCACACAACTTCACCTGGTTGTCTCACAGATTCTTATATTCCACATGCCCAAACTGTACTCACCTTGCATCTTTCTTAGTGCTCCCCACCCCCAGTGGGGGCCACCAGATCTCAGGTGCTGACTGCTCTTCCCTCACCATCAGTTATCCTACTGACTCGATCTCACACACACCTCTCAGTTACTTCTACCGTTCCCCGTTACCACGGTCACTGAGCTGATGTAGGCATAATCACTTCTTGTATGGATCACTACAAAAGCTGTCTAAACTTATTTCCCAAGCTCCAGGCTTGACCCTCTCAGAGCCACTTCTCCACACTGCAACCTTCCCATGTGCTCTTTTTTCTCCCTTCACCATCCCCTTCTCTAATGCATTCCTACACACACTTCAAGTACCAATTATTAAAAAGGTAAGATACCAATTTCTCTACCAATTTCTCTGACTACCCAAGACTGAGCTTTCGCTGCTGTGTTCCCAGAGCCACATGTAATTGTTCTATCAGAAGTACTCCTCATAGCACTTAACTTTCTTATGCCTGTAAAGTGGGGACTCTTGTGAATGTTTTCACTCACACCAGTACAATACCTGGCACACACGAGAATGCGCTGTTTTTCATTCACTTCAAGAAGAACTGAATTGTATAACATTCAGTTATACAATGTTAGGTGACAGTGATAGGCAATGGGGCCTCAATCCTTTTTCTAACTTGTATGGGAAGGCCTGAAAGGTTTCAACATTAAATACGACTCTTCTGAAATGGTATCAATCATATTCATAAGATAATATTCTATGAGTATTCTAAGAATATTCTATATTCTTTTATCATGTTAAAAAAGTCTGCTTTTATGCCTAGTTTACCAAAGTTTCTATTTATAAAAGGATGCTGGTTCTATTTTAAATATCTAATAGACAGGTACAGAGATAACTCTACAGATTTTGACACAAAGAATTAATTATAGATGTCCTGATACTAACCTATTTATCCATGCAATCTTGGAATAAACTGTTACTTTAACGCACTACTGAAAATTTTCATAGCCATATTCATAACAGATTGTTTTATAGTTTTCTACATTGGGTTAGGTTTTGTCATCTCTGTTTTCCCTTCCATCTTCATCAGTATCCTAGAACAGTTTAATACATTTTTGGAAGTGGTAAAAATCCAACTTTTTCCATTTTTTCCGTAGTTATTAGCCTATTAAAACTTTCTGCTTGTGTGAAGTTTGTAATTTTTGCTTTCATAGAAATCAACCCATCACATCCAAGTTTTTAAATTTTGTAAATATAGTATCTGTACTTATACCAACATATTATACTTTTTAAATCCCCTTCATTCTTATGATACATTCTTTCTTATACCTAATGGAATGTATGTTTATCTTTTCCAGATTTGCCACTTTTTGAACTGTATAACCTTTCAAAGAAGTCTTGCATTTATTTTCAAATATTGCTACAGTATTATAGTTCTTTTTCCTATTTCATTAATTTCTTTTTATCTTTAAATCCTTTTTTCTGCTTTTCTTATACTCTACCAGTTTGTAGAGCTAAGTGATCAGACAGTAATTAGATATGCATATTTATACATATTAATATAACTTTAACCTATACACACACACACACGCATATATATATACACACATAGTTACCATTCATTTGGCACTAACTTTGGACCCAGTTCTAAGTGTTTTTACATGTATTCTCTCAACATCTCCTTACCATGCAAAAAGGCAAGTAAAACTGCTCTTATTTTAGACAAAGACATTGAGGCTTAAAAAGGTTAGATAACTCTGCCTAATATCCAAATTGGGAAAATAACTGACCCCAAATCTGTCAGATTCCAGAGTGCTGTTTTTAATTACCATTACATAAGACCATGATTTTACCTCTCAGTATAGAACTGGTTACACCCTGTAAGTTTTGGTTTACAACAATGTCAATGTCGTTCTTCTAAATAAAGTATGGCTGCAGTTTTACTCTTTTTTTTCTGAAACAAGTAAATTTGAGAGCATAATTATGAATTTCCAAGGTTTCTTTTTAAAGCCTTGAATTACTGGAGTGCCTGGGTGGCTCAACTGGCTGAGCATCCAACTCTTGATTTCAGCTCAGGTCATGATCTCACGGGGGTTCATGGGTTCAAGCCCTGCGTCAGGCTCTGCACTGATAGCACAGAGCCTGCTTGGGATTCTGTCTCTCCCTCTCTGCCCCTCCCCAACTCGTGCTCTCCCTCTCTCTCTCAAAAAACAAAAAAAACAAAAAAAACAAAAAAAACTTTAAAAACCTTGAATTATTAACATATACAGTTTTATAGCAACTGAGGTCAGAAAAAGTGGCTTGTATAATTTCTAATTTTTGGAAATTTATCAAAATTTTCCTTGTGCATCATCGATACATCTTGAAAGTAAAGGTTTTTAAGTTACTGGCTGTTTTAGCTTTTCATAGGGCATTTTGGACAGACTCAGGCTATTTTGAAGACTTGGTGATGTTTGCAGAAGCACAAAACCTAAATTCAAGGAGATAAGCCTATGACTTCTTTCAGTGTCAACTCCTTGCTTACCTTCCAGATCTCTTATACTCTTTTTTGTAGGACCTTTCCAGAGATGGTGATCTTCGGCTGTCCCGGTGCCTGTGTCTCTCCCGTTCCCGCTCTCTTAAAGGAATTAATACACAGAGCTGTTTTCAACAGAAAGACTCAAAAACACCATCTCTTTTCACTGAATAAATTCATCTTCTAAATAAATGGACCTCACCTAAGAATTTTTCTGGCACTATTCTCGATGGGACATTTTTATTCATCATTTATTAAAGGATAACGGAGGTTTTTTTTCTTTACAGAAGTTAACTAACTTGGACATTTTTTGTTGTTTTCTTTGAAGAAAGAAGTCATACTTGATGCTAAGCAACAGGGGATTTATCATAATCTTCTCTCCAGACCTTCCAAGCAGCCAATTCTTTTATGTAACCTATAGGTAAAACTTTAAAGGACTCTACTACCTAGTGATTGCTAGAAAATTCTAAATTTCATCCATCAAATAAATGTAAATTAAAGCTTTTATAGTAAAAATTAAGCTAAGGTTCTAAACTCTGAGGGCGCCCTAGTGGCTCAGTAGGTTAAGCATCTGACTTCGGCTCAGGTCATGATCATGCGGTTTGTGAGTTGGAGCCCCACATCGGGATCTCTGCTGTCAGCACAGATCCCACTTTGGATCCTCTGTCTCCTTCTCTCTCTGCCCCTCCCCCACACGTGTTATATCTCTCTCTCTCAAAAATAAATAAAAACATAAAAAAAAAAAAGGCCTGAGTTATAGTTCTAGGTATCATTCATTAACTGCCATGAGACTGTAAGTCACTTTACCTTTAAATAGTGTTTTACTCTGAAAACAACTCTAAATAGAGACACAGTTTACACAATGTAAAATAAAATAGGGGATTTTAAAACCTTTCAATGTAAAATGGGAATTTAGTAATAACAATAATAATGTCTGAGTCTATTTAATAAGTACAATGAAGATCTTGAACAAAACTGGAACTCTAGTGTGTGTCAATCACAACTAAGTCTAAGGGAAATAACCACCCCATTTCAGCATGTAAAAAAAATGTATTAGCCTGAGTCCAGCAAGAAGACTATAAAAATGTCTGAAATCAAAAATATCCCCCAACCTATAGCCAAATAGAAGAAATGTAAATACACTGAAAATCAAAACTTACAAAACTGATAGAAAAATGTAACTGTTTAGATATTAAAACAGGAAATGTTTTTTCACTTAAAGGTCACTCCCTCCTCAAGAAAGATTCCACTGAATGATACTTTTACCATATACATAAGCCTCAGGGACACACCAGCTGTCTAAAATAAAGTGGCCAGAGCTTGGGATTCTACATTCTTTATCTGATACAACTTCTAAAATTACAGTTTACTGGGGCGCCTGGCAGGCTCAGTGCGTAGAGTATACAACTCTTGATCTCTGGGTTGTAAGTTTAAGCCCCACAGTGCATGCAGAGGTCACTTAAAAAATAAATTTAAAAAATTACAGTTTACTTTTAAGCAGTAAAATCCCAACTAGTGAGTGGTAACACACAACAGATATGTGTACTGATGGCAGCTGAGAATAATTGCCAATAATAATAATTTCCAAATCAAACTCTATTGAAAGGACACTCTTGATTTTTGTTTGTATTTTAACATCTAGGCAATAGAATTTTGCATTTGAGAATGACACTTCTGATGATGACTGCTACCTCTGAGTTGGTATGAACTGAAAAGGCCAATTTGGTTACAAACCACATTAGTTAACACTATGTAATGAACCCATTTAGAGCAAGAAAAACAATGTTTGGGTTACTCTTCCAAAGACTCTTCCTTAGCTGCAGGCACTGAGATATATAGGTATATAATACTAGCTCTCTGATGGCTACACACTGTACTCAACAGGCCAGCTACGGGGATTGTTGTGCTCTAACACCACTCAGTTATAGGAAGCCATTGCACCAGTCCCACCACACTGCAAAACAGCGTGCTCAGTGCACTGCATCTATGGCTGTTTCTTTTCCCATTCCCCATAGTAATTTTGATCTTTCATAATAACAAATACATAGATCCACTTCTTCACAAACTTCCTCTAAAAACAGTTTGTCCTAAAACAATCTGGTAATTACTATTCAAGCACATTTTGGAGGAGAAGAAAAAGAAGAAAGATGGAATCTGAAAAAGGATGGACTGACTTATCCTAAGGAATAAGGGGACAAGTAGCCAGAGGACAGACTATAGAATTTGAATAAACTCAACACAATTTAATGCACAGATTTGTGAAGTTTTGGTTTTCTCCAATATACTTCTAGCAGTTACACTGGGACTTCACACACCCCACTTTTATTTCACAAAAACATTCCATATAAGACAGGTGACTGGCACTCTACGTAAGACCTCAAAGGGAGCCGATTATAATGTGTCCATGACACTGGGGCAGCTCCAGGACAAACACCCCCAAGGATGTTACAAAACAACTCCAACATAAATAAAGGCCATTTAGAAAGATGAGCTAACTGCCTAAATAGGTCCTTCACAGTAAAGGAGTTACGGTTTAGGATAACGAAGATTGGTGGTAATTCTCAGCACTTAATTTCACTTACTGATAGAGATCCTCAGTTGACAGGACATGAATTTCTTTAAACAAATACATAGCCCCAAATTAAAACCTGATGCAAGAATTTTTTTATGGAAGAATTTTACAGAATGTTTTACAGCAGAACCCTAAAAACTCCTCTAAGTGCAGCACCCCAAAAAGGAAAAAAAGTGCCTTCTAGAATGCTAAAGTTTGCAACAAAGTGTCTCCCCAGAAAAAGGATTATCATCACTGTAAGGTTTACAGAAAACTATTAACAAACACTTTTCAGATCAGATTTTCACCACAAAATTATAAAATAAACTATCACAGCCTCTGCTAATTAACCCATCACAGAATAATTAAGGACAAAATTGACCAGAGACATAACTCATGCTGAAAATATTTTTTAAAGTCCACCAACTTCAGTCAGCTCTGGCCCACCAGAAATCAGTCATCCCTGCAGGAAGCAAGTTCCCTTCCATCTTCCACTGGGCGTCAGGGAGAGGACACAACACATTTTCTTTCCAACCCTCCAAGCATTAGTAACTCCCTTCAGGACTGAGAATGACCACCACCACTTACTGGCAAAATGTTCAATCAGAATCAAGCCAACAGCCATGAGAAAAACATGGAAACCAAGAAGCAAAGTGATGCCACAGATTAGCACAGAAGTGCCACAGGACAATGAAGGTAAACACACCTTATGGGACAGAAAGAGAAGCACCACTACTAGCTCCACCTCTGGAAAACTTCAACGATACAAAGAGTTTGCCAAAGGTACAAATTAATTGGTACGATCGTTATCTACAAAAAATATGTAGATTTGTATTTTCCATCTACACCAATAGTTCTTAGACTTTTGAAGAAATAGATTCACACCACCTCGAGATTCTGCTGTAAGCTACCAATTTAATTACAGAAAAACATGCATACACATAAAATGCTGCATATTAATTTCAGAACATTTCTACAAACCCATCTATGAATCTCAGTTTAGAAATGCCTGCTGGAGGGGCACCTGGGTGGCTCAGGAGGTTAAACGTCCAACTTCGGCTAAGGTCATGGTCTCACAGTTCATGGGTTCAGGCCCCACATCAGGCTCTGTGCTGACAACGTAGAGCCTGGAGCCTACTATGAGTTATGTGTCTCCCTCTCTCTCTCTCCCCCTCTGCCGCTCATGCTCTGTCTCTCAAAAATAAATAAACATAAAAAAAAATTTTAAACAAAAAAAGAAGTATCTGCTGGAAACCTTACTTCCTTATATATGTACATATTTGGTCTTTTGGGGGAAAAAAACATGTAATCTGGAATAAAATGGTATTTTTAAAATATAACTTTCTTCACTATGAATACATTTCAATGCAACAAAACAGGTTAAAAGCTATTTTGAAAACTTTGATGTGTAACCAATGTCATTGCACTTTACAAGGAAACAAAACAAGAAGGCAATTACATACAATAAACTCCCACTTATCCTAAAAACCAGAAAGCAAGTTCTGCTTCACTACTTTGATTCCTAATTGGTAACATACACAGATCAATTCCAAAAGAACTCAGGTGCTGTAAGCTGACACGGTGATCATACAACAAAAGTAAATACGATAATGCAAAAAACATGCGAAAAATCTAATGAACTTTCATTAGATCACCATTAAAATGTCAGCTGTATTATACAGCGTAATCAGCTTACACTCACTGAAATGAGTTTACATTAATTTTGAAATGCTTTTCAAAAGTGGCTTTTTCTGACATGACAGTTGTCTCTCCCTCTTTAAAACAGCCCAAAACATGTATTCTTCCCTTTATAAATCAAAATGCACTGTTGAACTTTTTTGGTCTGGTTTGCGGAGAAACCCAAATGGCACATGTCTGGATCTCTGCAGTTCATTAAAAAACACATGTGTTTGTGCTTTACCTGCTCCGCTCATAGCTCCGGTGACGCGACGGCGTCCTCCCTCGGTCATAATCTGATCTGTAGCGGCTATCTTGTCTTCTCCTGTCAGGACTTCGGCCTCGTTCCCGCCTATCCAGGGACCGATGCCGCTCACCTCGCCCGTGACTGTGATCTCGGTGCCTGTGATCCTCGTAGTGCTTGAGCCTTTCTGGGGACCTTCTCTCACTGGGAGCCTTTGGGAGTGGGTATGGAGGGAGGTGCCTAAAATGAGGACTATTGCTGTTATTAGCACTGGGTGGGAAAGAACTGGGGTTGTTCTGGAAACTGTTAAAATTGGGAGGTGGGAAATTATGGTGTGAGTATCCTGGAGGGTACTGATAATTGACCTGCTGTGGCATGACTGGAGGTGGTGGGGGATGGGGCATGGAAGGAGGGGGCATCATGAAGGGGAAAGTGCCTTGTCCTGGAGGTGCTCCAGGGACTGGGGGGTTATTAGGACAGGGCATCGGAGGCGGCATAGGAGGAAAACAGGGAGGCACTGGGAAGGGGGGCCTCATCTGGTGGTTGGGGAAGGGGGGTCGTATAGGGCAGGGGGGAAGAGGGCCTTGTGCTGACGGAGGCATGGGTGGAGGGAAGGGTACAAAGTCTGGTCGTGGAGGGAGAAAACTGGGAGCTGGAGAGTTCGAGAATGTGGTGGAAGGGGCACTTGGAGGTTCGTATTGATATTGCACAGGAGGCTGCTGAGGGTGAAGTAGTCTCAGATTTTGGGGCCTGAAGGCTGGGGCTGAGGGTCTGGCTCCATGTCCTCCTCGCCCTCGGGGACACCCTCGTCCTGGGTGGAACGACATCCTATGACTTTGTGGGAGGAAAGAAAAAGAGAGAAGGGAAAAAGAACTAAAAACTCACCATAAGCTGGGTTTCACAATGCCTGATCATCTTCAAGAGCAACTGACAGACCCCTTCAGCCACAGGAATATTCCACCCATCTAACGTTGAGTTCTCTGTAACACCTCAGACTCCTCAAGGCCAATAAACCCCTCTTCCCCTGTCTCAATCCCTGGACTCCGTCACTCCCTAAAGCTGTTCCTCGAGAATGACCAACTCAACATCCCATTGTTTAAACGTTTGCTATTATGTCCTCGCTCAGGCTCCCCAAAAGTGTGAACTTTGCCATGTCATCCCACCCACACACCCCACATTTTCTCCACCTGCACCAGTATCTCCCCGTCTTCACCTTCCTCCACACTCAGCAGAGACCCTGCAAATTCAACATAACATGTCCCAAAAGGAATTAATGACCTTCCCCGCCAAGACAATACCACTGGCTCCCGCTTCAGTGTTGCCTATCTCAATAAATAACATGTATTGTTCCTCAAGTCATACACCAGGGAATTATCTGACAACTTCTCCTCCCTTATCCCCCTTAGCCAAAAATTTATTTTAAATTCCCATCACTTCTACTTCATAAATACTTCCGGAGTTCATCCACTTCACATCATTGTTTCTCCCCTGGCTACAATAATAACACCACTGCTGGCCTTTCTCCAATCACTATTACCAACCTACCAGGCCTTTGTCAGGCTCCCTGCTCTCACACTCTGTGCTTCTCCTTGGCAGCTCCTACAGTAATTCCAATTCACAATTAATTCCACCTTTCATGTTTGCCTGCACCTCAGAACTGTAAGTTCCATCAGGGCAGTCTGGATTCCTAACTATGTACATGGCCCTCATGAACACATTTCTTCCTCTCCCCACATATATAAATCCTTCCCACTCTCAGGACCCAGTGCCAGTGTTTCTCTTCTTCTCTCTGTTCTTCCAAAACCCCTGCCATGACTGTCACACTACTCACCACGTATTGCCTTGCATCATGACGTACTGTCTGGATACGTCACATCTTCCACAGAGAATATAAACTCTAGAGAACAGAACAGAAAGAATAGGGAGAACAGAAAGAATAAAACAGAACAGAGAGAACAGAAAGAATAAAATACACATAAAAATGTTTCCCAAACTGCTAATGTCCGCAATTATCTTAACATTGATTTTTGCATTCTCTAATGCACTTAGCATACTAACAAAATAACTTTGTAAACACAACAGTTATCCTTGATTTCATTCTCAACTCTTTCCACTGAAGAATTCTGTGAACATGAACGGCTTTCCAAATACTTAAGCTTCAGCAAAAGGTTTTAAAAACTAAATACATAAATATTAAGTGCAAAGAACTTTAATGCAGAAGCATCCTCTTAAAGTCTAACTAAAAGCTTTACCAATAGGCTTAAGGTAGATTTTCAAAAGGCTCACGAAAATAATTTCAGATTATATAGCAGTGCCAATCACTGTGCTTAATAACTAGTAGGCATGAAATATGGTCTGACTTATGATTATTATTCAGGCTAAGACCTTCATGATAAACCCAGGACCTACCCAGTTGATCTTGCCACCACAGGCTACTTATGGTTCACGGCCAATGGAATCAAATTCAAACTCCAAGTTTGGACCCAACTTCTTGCAGGCTTATCCTCCATTACCTTCCCTGTGAATCCCTATGATCCCAGATTTCCCCAGTTGCCTAACATACCAGGTGCTATCAGCCAGCTTGTTCTTTGCTCCCACTCTTCTAAAATTCCCTACTTATATTAATCTGCCCACTGAATTTTCATCTGCCTACAAATGCCACCTCTTCCGGGAAGCCTTGCCTAGTTCCCTTTAGAAAATAATCCCACTCCCCCTAGACTACCATTGCTTAGTCCATACTTAGTTCTTTTACAGCACTTACCAGAGACTGCCTCATATTATAGTCATGTGTGTACATTTCTAACTTCTCCACTAGGTTATTAGCTCCTTGAGGACATGGGTTGATTCATAAGTCATTTCTGTATCCTTCACAGCTCCTGGCAGAAAATCCTGCACATAGGTGGTCAATAAATGTTTACTATCTCACCAATGGCATATGTTTCTACTTGCTACTGTATATTTCCCTTTCACATATATCCGGCACAGATTTGCATTATCAAAACCAAAGAGTGGACCTTTTCACTGATTCATACAATATTCAATGAGCCTATACATGTCACAGGCCCCACAGACTCAAAGTTGAGTAAGACACACAGCCTGCAAGACTCAAGCTCTCAATCCACTTACAAATACATTTTCCTTAAATAAAGCAATAAACAAGAGAAAAGATTTCAACACAGCGTCTAGAGGAATACAAAGGAGTGTACTGAACCTAGAGGTGCGAAACGAACACTAACACTGTTGGACAGTGTGTAATAGTTATACTTTCAGGATTAGATCCTCATGGATGTTTCTATGGAGAGAATATCTGAAAACACTAATTATGAAACTGACATATTAAAGGCGTAGTCGGGCTATCTTATGGATGCAAATTTTAATTCAAAAGTCAAGGAATTCACTGCAACTGGAAAAGTAATTGTTTGCGGCGTAGGTCTACTCCTAGACTGCTTGTGTGGAAGCTTTAGGGAACCGCTTTGTACAGTTAACACGACCAGGAACATCAGCCTATGCTCAAAGAGTTGCATAGTGCGCAACTACGTTATTAAGAACACCGTTCCCCCCACTTGCATCTGCAGGCCGGTCACCTTCGTCGAGCTCATCTGTAATTGCGGTTTCCCCTGTTTGCATCTCCCGCCAGACTGTGAGCCCCACGAGGCAAGCGCTGGGCTCAGGGTCTCGCGGCACTCCGAGACCCCGGCAGCCCCGGGCCTGGACCACCGCCTGCGTTCCACAAATGAATGAAAGGTCTCATTTTTCATTTCTATTTGCGGGATTCGGGCCTAGGGTCGCTTTTTTGCCCTTAGCTGCAGAACTGAAGAGGGGCTGCACGACCATAACTCAAAGGCGGCTCTCGCCCCAGCCCCGGACTCTTAGCCCCGTTTAAACCCGGACACTCGGAAACGCTCCCTCTCCCAACACCCGCAAGTTGCCCCTTTTACCTACAAAAGGCTCTCGCGCCGCGAGGTTGCCGTCAAAGCAAAGCTAGGATTATTCTACAGCCGCCAGGACTGTAGCGCCTCCCGCGCCTCCGGAACAGGAAACCGAGGAAATTAAAAAGCGAACCGGAGAAAGCTGGACCTCTACAGAGAAAGCTTCTGGGCTGGCCACAGGGCCTTGTGCGCAGTGATTGGTCCGTCAACTAGAGCGATGGATAATTAAGCCAATAGTCTTTGTAGAACCCCTCGGCGCCCGCCCCCTGTCCTCTACATCTTCCAATAAGGAACCACAACCGGGTGAGCGCGCGTTTCCACCCGGGAGGGTCTGTGAGGCCGCAGCTCCCGCTTTCGGGAGTCCTAGCCTCAGCACTGCGGCTGGCGAGGACGCTGACAGGGAAACCATGAGCGCAGACTCTGTGGGAGAGCGCGCTCGCCTCCGGCGCTACTCCAAACTCCCAGTGTGGGTCGTGGAGGATCACCAGGAGGTGAGCCGGCGACTGCTGGGTCCTGAGGCAGAATCGCGTGAGGGCCCGGGAGGCGGCGGAGCCTCGGCATCGAAGGCCGGAGATAATCGGAATTTGTTACCCGCGCGAGTTCCATTGCTGTGGGGAAAAAACACCAAAATGACTAACTGGGAGGAACAGGCCCTGACATTTATGGTTCGCTGAGTATGCGTCGGGCAATTCATTTAACCCTCGCGATTTGCCCAGAAATCCCGCAACCAACAACTGGTGGCGTCGGGCTTCGAACCTGAGCATTCTGACTGCAGAGTCCCGTGTCCTTAACCTGCTTCTTAACGGAGGCTTCCAGCTCTCCCTGGCGTCTCCAACACAGTCCTGCCGTGTAGGTGGGAAGGTTTTAGCAAAGAATGTGGGCTGTCATCTGTGAAACGGGACCATCACCTTAGCACCCTTAGGGCCGCTGCTATTATTGTGTGCTGGGTGTGTACATAAATCCTTTAATATGGGGTGGCCCGGGTGGCCCAGTCGGTTAAGCATCCGACTTGGGCTCAGGTAACGATCTCGGGGTTCAACCCCGCCTGGGGCTCTGTGCGGGCAGCGCTGAGCCTGGAGCCTGCTGCGGATTGTGCGTCTTGCTCCCTCTCTGGCCCTCCCCCGCTTGCGTTCTGTCTCTCGCTCGCTCTCTCGCGCTCTCTCTCTGTCAAAAATAAACATTAAAAAGCTTCCTTATAAATCTAACACAGAGCCCTGCGTTTGTAAACACCGAAGGTATTTTCTATTTTTTGTGGCAGTGCTACTTTGGAGTAGCTAAAATGGTGCCTTTATCTGGTCTTCTGGAAGCCTATGAGGGAGGATCATGCATCTAAGACTTTTTTTTTTTTTTTTTTTTTTTTTTTTTTTAATTCGTAGACCTTGGGGATTATCCGGATATGAAAGAGGGAAGGAGTGGGCTCCGGATTTATGGATGGAGAAAGTTAAGAGGAGAGGCGGGAAGTTGGGTTTCCCAGGACCTAGAGATAGAGTGTATGGACCCGAGCAAAAGCCAAGCGTGGGTTAAGCGGTGCTGTCCACTTCCGGTTTAAATCTAGAGCCACAGAGCTTGACAGGCTACCTAGCCCGGCTCCACCATTCTAAGGTGTGGAAAAGGCCAGGAGACCCAGGGTGGCTTGAACACACCCTTAATGCCAGAATGTGTCTTCATTACCCGTTTTTTTCCTGAGAGCCCATCTGTTTACCCGCTTCATCTTCCGAGTTTGTGTTGGGGGCGAGATGGCAGCAAGAGATGCCCATTAAGGCCTTTGGAGGAGCAACCTGGAACTTCTGAGGGAAAAAAGCTGGAGAACGTTATCTAAACCCACCTAGGACGAACAGATTTTGTATTTGCCTACCGTTTAACGATTCGGTGCGCTTCGAATTCCGGGCGGCTACGTTTAGCATTGTTTCTCAGCCTGCAGCTGAGCGGATGCTCATGATTTCAGTGCCCATTCTGAATGTGTGCGTGTGTTTTTACAGGTCCTGCCTTACATATACCGGGCCATTGGCTCAAAGCATCTTCCTGCCAGTAATATAAGTTTTGTGCATTTCGATTCACATCCAGACCTCCTTATTCCTGTGAATATGCCAGCTGACACTGTGTTTGACAAGGAAACACTTTTTGGGTAATACGTGATTTTTGTTAATGATTTTTTCTTTTGTTTTGTTTTTAAGTGAACTCTGCCCCTGGTGTGGGGCTCGAACTCAAGAGCTGGAGATCAAGAGTTGCATGCTCCAGCAACAGCCAGCCAGGCACCCCTGTTAGAGATCTTTTATTTGCTTGAAATACAATTTGCAGATGTGATGAACTATTAAGGGAACTAGACTTTGCCGAGCTCATGTGTTTTCTTTTTCTTTTCTTTGCCTGTTTTATTTTAATTACACCAATTGTTGACTTTTTCATAAAGAGCCAGATATTAAATATCTTAGGCTTGCTGGCCATACAGTCTGCGTTGCAGTTACTTATCTCTGCCCTTGTAGTATGAAAGCAACCATGGACACTATGTAACAAGTGAGTGTAGCTGTGTTCCAATAAACCTTTATTTACAAAAACAGGTAGCCTGGGGCACCTGGGTGGCTCAGTCCATTAAGCATCCAGTTTTCAGCACAGGTCATGATCTCCTGGTTTGTGGGTTCAAGCCCCACATTGCTGTCTGTACTACTAGCTCAGAGCCTAGATCCTGCCTCGGGTTCTGTGTCTATCTGTGTCTCCTCCACTCATGTTCTCTTTCTCTCAAAATAAATAAACATTAAATTAATTAATTAATTAAATAAAATCTGATTTAAAAAAAAATGTGGCCCAGCCAGTGAAAGAAGTAGAAGAGACTTTAGATGTTACTTGAGCCAGTACTCCCTACCCCTCCACTTAAAAAGTCTGAATACTAAGGCACAAGATAATGTGTCTTAAACACATTATTCAATAATTATATAGGCAACACATCTTTAACTTGTATATCCTTTCTTCCAGTATTGTCCTTCCAACCTCGCAATTTGTACAATCCGCAGGAAGGATTATACCTAATGTATCTATAAACATTGACTTATAAGCCTTTCTTTAGCAATAAAGTTCTCTGAAATTCTGCCACTGTTTATGTATGCATTTTGTTAGAATGTAGTCTACTCATATCAGGTAAAAAGTTACATAGCAGTAACTTTTCTTTATAATATAAAATTAAGAGATAGATGTTTACATGAATTAATTTTAGCCTACTACACTTCTTTTAGTTGACTTTTTCCAGAACCCCATTTTAGAGCACTAATTTCTTTATTTTATGTTATGTTATGTTATGTTATGTTATGTTATGTTATGTTATTTATGAGAGACAGAGTACAAGTGAGGGAGGGGCAGAGAGGGAAGGAGACACAGAATCCAAAGCAGGCTGCAGGCTCAGAGCTGTCAGCACAGACCCCTACGCAGGGCTCGAACCCACAAACCGTGAGCCAAAGTCAGATGCTCAACCGACTGAGCCATCCAGGTGCCCCTAGAGCACTAATTTCTAAAGAAATGTGGTAGGCTACCATTGTTGTTAGTCTCTTTTATAAATTTAGAGATTATATATTTTAGAAATTGAAAAAACTTATAAGTATATAGACTATACAGTTGTAGAATAATTCTTAAACTTTTTAGTCTCAGGATTCCTGTATATTCCTAAAAATTACTGAGCTTTCTTCTAAGTGTAGGTTACATCTATTGATATTTACCGTATTTGAATTTAAAGCTGAGAAATGTTTAAAGTAATTCATTCAAATTAATAGACCTGTATGTGTTAGCATAAATATGATATTTTTATGAAAAATTTATTTTTTAAAGCAAAGTATCTGGGGAGAAGAATAACAATATTTAATTTTTTTCCCATCTCTTTAATATTTGCCTTTATAAGAGACAGCTATTTCTCCTATCTCCTTCTGCATTCGATTTGTTGCCATATGTTGTTTTGGTGGAACTATATGAAGAAAATTTAGGAACAGTATTTTCATAGCTTTTTCAGATAATTATGAATATTCAGTACCATACCAAAACTTGACAAGTAGTGGTTCTTAAAGCTCAGTTCGAATGTGGAAATCCAACAATTCAATTTCAAGTCTGAATAACCATTGTATGTTGATCAATCTTTCTTTCAGGAAAAATGGTGTTTTCAATTCAGTCACAAGTACTTTTCCTTGAAACAACCATGGTACCTCAAAGTATGTAGCAGAAGTACTTTTTGTGCATTTCTCATTTTACTGCACAGACTATTTAAAATGTATATTCAGGGTCAAGGTTTAGTAAACTAGTAAACTGGCTTTTTTTTTTTTTTTTTTTTTTTTTTTTTTTTTTATACATGAAACTGGCTTTGGGAGGGGTCAGTGGTGTTTGGTAGTGAAGAATACAGTGACTGCTAGTAGAGTTGATGCTGTTGCCTTGATTAATCTCAGGACATCAACCCACCATTGCTTTGCACTGTTAGTGCAAATGTCAGTATAATGAAAAAGGGAAATAAGCCCTTGATGTCATTATGAAAATTGTTAAAATCTTGTTCTGGGTGAAATTACATTTGGAAAACCCACTCATGCTTTCTATTCTTTCTTTCTATTCTTTCTATTTCTATTTCTTTCATGCTTTCTATTTCTTTTCCAGAGAATTAAGTATTGAGAATTGGATTATGCCTGCGGTTTATGCTGGCCATTTTTCTCATGTTCTATGGCTTCATCCCATGTGGGCTCAGCAAATCAGAGAGGGAAAGCATCACTTTTTAGTAGGCAGAGACATTTCTACCACAACCATCAGGTAATTTCATCATATTTGTGAGTGTGAAAGGGAATGAGTTCTTCTTTTATCTTACTTTGAATCCCCATAATAACTTGTAAGTTCTCTACATACAGATAGGGTCAGATTAAGCCTCAACTATTTAAATAGTTCTCAAAACACCAGGAACCAAGCTTTCATGTCTCTGGACCTTCTTCACATATCATTTATATTTTGTTGCTAGTCAAGTTGGTTTTGAATAATATGGTCTCCATCTTCTGGAATTCCGGCTCCATTGATGACTAATTCCGTTAAATCAGTGAAATACCTTATAGATATATATATTTAATGATTTATATATTTAAGGAAATGCCATTTCCTTACAATATAACTATTGTCCACTGAATTTAACAGTTAGCACTGGAAAAGCAAAATTACCTCATTTTGGGTTTTTGTTTTTTTTTGTTTTTTTTGTTTTTTTTTTTGTAAATCCAATAGCTAAAAAGTAGATTTGGAGTTTTCATTTTAGTACTATGACTAGCTTTAGGTAATTAACCTAAATTAAATTACAGCATTCTCTGGCTTGAGTTACATGTGCAACTATTTTTGTTGTGTAAGCAGTTTAACCAATGTTTTATGTGTATTGCAATACTGTAATTATCTTTATAAATATCAACATGTTCTTGACTTTCTACATTCTCTTGTGATGAAATGAATGTGAAGGGTCCTTTATTAAAGAAGAATGCAAATTTAGTTTGGAGAATACAGGCTTTGTCTTTCTTAGGATGGCATAATTTATAAGAAGCCTGGATATTTATTAGCTTTATTATGTCATTAATCTTATTTTGGAAAATTAATACCTTTTTAAATTTAATGCTGTATAACTGGAGGAGGGGGAGTAGAAAATAAATATGACCTTTATTTTAGTTGGATAGAGCCTGCCTCTGGAAGACGAATTTAGTTTTGCTTTTCAAAGTATTTACTAAGGCATAAAATAGTGAAAAGCTAAGAACTTACTGAGTAGAAATCTGTAACTTGTAAAATGCATTCTGCATATGTATAACATTTTTAAGTTGCTTTTCATATTAAAATATGTTCATATAAAATTTGACAAAGCTTTGAAACACATCAGAGGAAGTTTCTGTTAAGCGAAATTATTTCCAGATACAATTTTTCTCATAAGTGATTATTTGGTTAAAGTTTCAGCTGATATGAGCTCCAAAACACTAGCTTAAAGGGGCCCCTTGGTGGCTCATTTGGTTAAGCATCTGACTTCGGCTCAGGTCATGATCTCACAGTTCATGAGTTCAAGCCCTGCGTCAGATTCTACTGATAGCTCAGAGCCTGGAGCCTGCTTTAGATTCTGTGTCTCTTTCTCTCTGTGCCCTTTCCTCGCTCACTCTCTCTCTCTCTCTCTCTCTCTCTCTCTCTTCTCTCTCAAAAATAAATATTTTTTTTAAGTTAAAAAAAACACACACACACACTAGGTTAATTAAAGAAGATCATTTATTTCTTTCTCATATTAGAGTTTACCACATGCAGCCCAGGGCCTTTGTGGCAGTTTACCAGTTCAGCAACTCCAGTTCCTTTTACCTTTTTGCTTCATCTCTAGAGTATTGCCTTTGTCCTCATAGTCCAAGGTGGGCTTGCCACTTCCACGTTCATATGCCAGTCAGTGAGGAAAGGAGAGCAAGGTTTTATACACTTCTTTTCCATTCACAGCCTTAGGCCAGAACTTAGTCAATTGGCCACACCTGGCTGCAAGGTAGATTATGAAATCTTTACTTAACAGTCTTTACTTTGGGCAGTTGTGTGCCCAGCTAAAAAATTTGGGGAATGCTATTTCTGCAGAAGAACAGGAATTACAAAAAGTAGGGATAGCTCTTAGCTTTTGTTAAATATGTTCTTTGTTACGTTTCTGAGTGCTTTGGAAATACTATATGAAATGTCAGCAAAGTTGTCCATTTTTCTTTAAAATAGTTTTTTCCTCTAATGCAGGGTTACAAGTACAGATCATTACTTTCTAAGTGACGGTCTTTATGTAACTGAAGACCAGCTAGAGAACCAAAAACCTTTGCAATTGGATGTGATTATGGTGAAACCTTACAAACTCTGTAACAATCAAGAAGAAAATGATGCAGTGTCTTCTGCTAAGAAGCCAAAGCTAGCACTGGAAGATGCAGAAAACACTGCCTCTACTAACTGTGACTCTTATTCAGAAGGACTGGAAAAGGACACAGTGACACAGAAGAAGGGCCAAACTTGCCTAGAGCAGTCACGTCCATGCTTTTCTGAAAGCCAAGAATGCCAGACAACAGTCAGCACTGGGGAAATTCTAGAAATTTTGAAGAAAGGGGATGCATTTGTTTTGGATATTGACTTGGATTTTTTTTCAGTCAAGAATCCCTTCAAAGAAATGTTCACTCAGGTAAACATGTGGCATTTTTAAAATGTAGATCTTGAGAATTGTATGACATTTCTCTAGATCAGGGCTCAGCAAATTTTCTGCAAACAGCCAGATATTAATTACTTTATTGGGGGTCCCATATGGTCTCTATCACACATTCTTCCTTGTTGTATTTAAATGTTTTTAAATTATACATACCTTTTTTTAAATTGAAGTTTATATGTACCTTTCTTTTTTTTTTTTTTTTAATTTTTTTTTTCAACGTTTATTTATTTTTGGGACAGAGAGAGACAGAGCATGAACGGGGGAGGGGCAGAGAGAGAGGGAGACACAGAATCGGAAACAGGCTCCAGGCTCTGAGCCATCAGCCCAGAGCCTGACGCGGGGCTCGAACTCCCGGACCGCGAGATCGTGACCTGGCTGAAGTCGGACGCTTACCCGACTGCGCCACCCAGGCGCCCCTATATGTACCTTTCTTAACTTGAATGCCATACAAAAACAGGTTGTGAGCTGCGGGTTGCAAATCCCTGCTCTAGATAGTATTTATTTTGTATTTATTGAGGTAATACGTACATGGGTAGTTGAAAAAACTAAAATCATACAGTGTAAGAAAATATATACATTAAAGAATGTCACTCTCTCACCCCATCCTCATTTCCTCAGTTTCTTACCTCAGAAAGAAACATCACCAGTTTCTTGGTGTATCTTTCCGGAGATATTCTATACATGTAAAGAAAGCCCTGTGTGACAGATTTTTCACTGAAAAATCTGAATCAGGTGCCTGATCACACATGTACTATTTGCAGCTAATGATTCACGCCTCTAATCCGTAGGGTACCTCATCAGATCTTAAATGCAAATCACCAGACAATATTAGTATGCACAGATCTGAGATAGAACTAGGCATTTAAGAAACTGGTAAATTCATGATCCAAATGAGCATTCCTAGGTGCATTTTATGGGCACAACTGCTTACTTCAACATTTGGGAGGTTATTCAGACCTATTTCAGTGATTCAGATCAACTGTATTTTTTCTACCCAAATTCAGTGTTTGATTATAACAACGATGCTGCACCTTACAATCATAATATGTACGTATAAGAAGCCATGGTGGTTTATCTAAGTTATTGAAGACCTCTAAGTAGGTAATGATTAAAAATAGGTAAGATTTGAGGATTTAGTGTAATCTGGAACAAGAATGGGGGACCTAGAGTATTTTCCCAACTTGTAAATAAGGGAGAAAAATTGCTATTTCTTTCTGCTGTTGTATGTGGAGCCAGTGACTATAACCACAAGTTCTTAGAATTATGAAATGACCTTAGAGCTATTTAGAAAACTTGAAGAATAGGTGCATCTGAAAGCTGAAGAAACTGACTTTAGGAATTTATTTTACAAATATACTCATCAAATATTTTTAATGAAAATTTCTAAAAAGTTACATAAGGAACTTAATGGCAGGTATTCCTTTTCCAGTACTATCAGGAAACCTGGGTAGTGGAGTTTTTTGTATCCTTTATACCATTTGGTACTATGGAACTTTTGGAAAAGAGCATGTAGTATACTTTATAATTTAATAGACTTTTTTTTAATGTAGTTAAAGTCACTTGTTTACCTTTTTTAAAGAGCATGTGCAGAAGTCCAGAGTGAATTAAGTTCTGTTTGTTGCTTCTGCTTATCACTTCTTGGGAAAGTTACTTAACCTTTCTGACCCACAGTTCAAGTATAAAATAAAAATAATCACACCCAAGTCACAGGATTATTACAGTGAGGGAGTGGCACAACACTGTGCTTTGTGAACTTCAGCTCTTGCATATAATTTCTTCGCAACAATACTCCTAAATGGGATTTTGGGGCCAGATATACCCATGTATAATGGGGCTACTTAGTGTGCTGAATGAAGAGAGACACTCTCCTGCAAAGTCAGTGCTTAGAAAGTATCCTTCTTCCATTGTAACTGCCTCCCCTATCACCTTTGAACTTCAGGGTTCTCTTTTGCAGCTAGGGAAAGGGCTGCAAAGTGAACATGGAGCGTTCTTTTGTTATTCAGGACATGTATATTTCCTGTAAATAGCGAAAATCTGTTTAGATCCTAAGATGTACCAATTTATAGAGTAGAATATTATTAAAAATCTTCTTTCATATCAAGTCTTTTCCATAGCTATTTCATACATTCTTGTCAGTATAGAAATGACAGTGTTTATAATGATATCTGAACTATACATTTGCTGGATTTTCACAGACTGATTTTTAAATAATTATCTATCTTCCTAATATCACAGCCATTTTTACTTAAAGAATATCATCAAAACAATTGGGTTTTTTTCCCCTACTATATGGGTTTTTGTTTTGTTTTCCAGGAAGAATACAAAATCTTACAAGAGTTGTACCAATTTAAAAAGCCTGATACCAACCTGACAGAGGTATCCTTCATTTGTTTCTTTTGCGTTTTGTCTGTTACATATCTAATAATATCTTATAGCCCATTAGAGTGCTGTCGGACATCTCACCAGAATCTTTGTGTGTTTATTGGGTAAACCCATGGTTAGTACTTACAAGTCATGGTTTAACTAATTGAACTGATATTTTCATTGTAATGGAATTTCACTTTTTCAAAGAAAAATTATAATCTTGGCTTTTCAATGTGCTTAAAGGAAGATTTGGTAGATTGTGTTGATACTCGAATTCATCAGTTAGAAGATTTAGAAGCTGCTTTTGCTGATTTGTGTGATGGTGATGATGAAGAAACTGTACAGAAATGGGCTTCAAACCCTGGGTAAGACCTTGAAACATTTTTTCCCCAACTTTATTTCAGTCCTAGATATATTGTTAAGTTTGCTAGATAAATTACTTTTTAAAAATTAGTATTAAATGCCAACACAAGGATGCTGGCTGGCCCAGTTTGTAGAGCATGTGATGCTTGATCTCAGGGTTGTGAGTTGGAGCCCCACATTGGGTGTAGTGCTTACTTAAAAATAGTATCTTAAAAAAAAAAAATGCCAACACAAATTTACTAGCAATAGTTAGCCTTTACTAGGTGCTATCTATATGCCCAGTTGTAAGATTTTTTTCTTGCATTTACCTCATTTATTCCTTCTAACAATCTTAAGACTTTGTGTTCATTTTATAGGTGAGGAAGCTAAGACACAGAGGTTTAAGTTGCTCTGAGTCCCATAGTAAGTGGGTATGCTTTTAATCATTGTGCAGTAGCTGCCCCTATAAGATGTGGTGCTGGGTCTTACAGAAGATTAATGATTTGTAAGACAGCCCCCATTCAAAGGAGAGTAAGAAAAAAAAAATTATCAATAAAAAAGTAAATTACTAGATTGGTAAATTAAAATGTGAAAATTTGCTTCCTTTTAAGGATAACCCAATATGACTAGAAGGTCAAAACTGCCCATCATATGAGGAAGCACGATTTGAAAGCTGGATTCTTCATCAGGTCATCTATTTGGCCAATTGTCTCAGCATTAACATTACCTTGAAAACATGAAGAGAAAGTTCTTTTCGTGTGATCATTTGTCGATTTATAGGGTGGGGTGAAGAGTGCCTTTAGTGTTAAAAAGCAAGTTTGAAAGAATGTTGACATAAATAGTGTACTTTTCTTGGAACTAATTCTGTTTTTTTCTAGTGAAGTGTAGTTGACGTACAATATTATATTAGTTTCAGGTATACAACATAATGAATCGACAATTCGATATATTCTACAGTGCTCACCACAATAAATGTGGTTACCACCTGTTACTATACAATATTATTATACCATTGACTATATTCCCTATGCTTTAGTTTTTATTCCTGTGACTTATTTTTATAACTGGAAATTTGGACCTCTTAATCCCCTTCACCTGTTTCACCTGTCTCCCCACCCCCTCTGGCAGCCACTGGTTCTCTGTATTTATGAGTCTGTTTCTGTTTTTGTTTGTTCATTTGTCCTGCTTTAGATTGCACAAGTGAAATCATGTGGTACTTATCAAACTTACTTCACTGAGCATGATACTCTAGGTTCATCCATGTTGTCATAAATATTAAGATTTCATTCTTTTTTTTATGTCTGGGTAATATTCCATTGTATACATAGACATGTGTATGTGCATATATCTGTCTTACATTTTCTTTATTCATTTGTCTATCGATGGACACTTGGGTTGCTTTCATATCTTGACTATAACAAACAATACTGCAGTAACAATAGGAGTGGATATATCTTTTCAAATTAGTGTTTCTGTTTTCTTGAATAAATACCAAGTAGTGGAATTCCTGGATCATATGGTATTTCTATTTTTAATTTTTTGAAGAACCTCCATACTGTTTTCCATAGTGGCTGTACCAGTTTACATTTTTACAGACAGTGCACAAAAGCTTCCTTTTCTCCACATCCTCACCAACACTTGTTCTTTTCTTGTTCTTTGATACTAGCCATTCTGACTTATGTGAGGTAATTTCTTACTGTGGTGTTGGTTTGCATTTCCTTAATGATTAGTGATGTTGAGTCTTTGAAATAATTCTTTAAATCATATAGACTCAACAAAAAGCCTGAAAACTAAAATGTAACCATCAGACATCAACTTTTTTGTCCCCATGAGCATAGGAAGACCAGAACTAGCTTATTTTCAAATTGATCTCTCACAGATTATTCTCCACAGTGTAAATGTAAGAAATCAGTCATAAGATACCAACATAAATTAGAAAGTTAGAATCATAGTATTTTGGGCCACTAAGTCTTATTATGTCATTGTTATTGGTAATAATTCATCAGATTTCTAGAAGAATACATAGGAAACTGGAATAGAGGTTGCCTCTGAAGAGAGGAATTGTATGGCTAATAGATGAAGTTATGAGGGAGAAACGTCTTTTGCTATGTGTATGTATTACCTATTCAAAATATTCAGTGTAATTTTTGTTTCAAATATTGAGAAACCTCCCTGAAATATAAACATTATAAAACTTTATTATCTCTAAAAAAAGAGTAGTATGGAATAAAAACCATAATTGTATTCATCACATCAATAAATATTGACCAGGCACTTTAACATCAGTTAATGCTCTTCTTCTTCAGTATAGGGAACTCATTCAAAAAATGATTCCCTCCTTCTTGAAATTATGATGGAAGAGGGAGATCTAGAAATATCTCACAGAACATGATTCTTCCTAGAAATATTGAAAAGTACCTACTATTTTGTGAATTTGTGATGTCTCAAGCCGAGTTTAAAACTTAAGATAGCATGAAAACCTTGGAGTCCTGGATCTAGCCTATAGATGGGGCCACGTTCACTGAAACCCACTGTGCCTGGTAAGCATGCCCAGTTAACTCTTCAGCACCTGCAGAGTTCTGTCACAGAGTTGAAAAAACAATGAGGCTACAACAGAAATGAGTCCAGACCATGATTGGAATGGAGGGAAAATAGAATAGCACAAAGGAAAAGTGGGTGAGACAGCAAGAAGAATCTCCCCAAACTTACCATGCCCCTGAAGAGCCAGACCCTCAGCATGAAGGAGTCTTCACTGTTCCTTAAGAAGTACATAAAGTAGATGGAAACCAATTTGACAATAAATTTCATATTAAAAAAATAATAATAAATGGGCAGGGGTTCCTACCCTCAGAAAGAAAAAAAAAAAAAAAAGAAATAAAGTAGGTGATTAGGGTCTAGAAGACCAGAAAGTGTTTTCATAAAAGAGTAACAGAATGAGTGGATAGATAGGTCTCCATGACCCCCTCTTTCTTTTTTCCCTCCTAGCAGTTGCATAGATATTGATGGGGAAGGCAAAATACTAGAAACATCAGTCAGGACTCCCAAAGAGTTCTATTTAAATTTAATAATGGGCACCTGGTTGGCTCAGTTGGTTAAAAGTCCGACTTCTGCTCAGGTCATGATCTCGTAGTTCACGAGTTCAAGCCCCATGTCAAGCTTTGTGCCGACAGCTCAGAGCCTGGAGCCTCCTTCAGATTCTATCTCCATCTCTCTCTGCCTCTCCCCCGCTTGCTTGCGTGCACTCTCTCTCTCAAAAATAAAAAGCATCAAAAATAAATAATAAATAAAATTTAAATGACTTAAAGGCACTAGTGTTAGTATACTAAATGGTATAGAACTTTCCCGGGTGTAATTGTGTATGTCAATAAATATATTCTTAATTTTTTTTTGAACTTTTGGGTAACTTTTTCAACACCATGTGCTCAAGGCACTTAGTTTTCTTATTGATCAAAATAATTTTAAATCACAGTAGAGCTTCTATTTTTAAAAAAGAGGAAAATCTCAGTTTCTTGAGTGTTAATTTTCAATGTTTAACACAATGTATACTTTTTTAGGTAAGAAAAAACAACATTTCTTAATATTTTAAGATGATATTTGAATATCTTTATCTTTCATTTCTCAATCATGTGAAATGTATTGTTAAAGATATACTTTAAATGTTACATATCTATCATTTGCTTCTGTAATTTTAGTTGAGGTGGTGTGATGTTTAATTGAGGGGTGGCTTTTTTCCAGAATGGAATCACTAATTCCACTTGTACAGAGTTTGAAAAAACGGATGGAAGTACCAGACTATGAAATGGTAAATATATTGCAGTATAAAATTGACCCTTTAGAAAGACATTTTTCTGGGTAGAAAAAGTACTTTTTATTTAAGTGGTTTGCTTTTATTTGTGTACCAGGGACGTGTAAATGAATTCTTTTTAAAAAATGAGAAGAAATGAAAAAATACACACTTCTTAGAAGTCAGAACATTGGAAAAGTTTTCCAAAAAAATAAGCTTTCTAAAGATATCCCTTCTTTATCGATTCATTTTTATACTCCCTTCCTTCCTCCTTCTTTCTTTCCTCCCTCTAAAAACTTTCCTGATTATAAAAACCAAGCAGAGGGGCGCCTGGGTGGCACAGTCGGTTAAGCATCCGACTTCAGCCAGGTCATGATCTCGCGGTCCGTGAGTTCGAGCCCCGCGTCGGGCTCTGGGCTGATGGCTCAGAGCCTGGAGCCTGTTTCCGATTCTGTGCCTCCCTCTCTCTCTGCCCCTCGCCCGTTCATGCTCTGTCTCTCTCTGTCCCAAAAATAAATAAACGTTGAAAAAAAAAAAATTAAAAAAAAAAAAAAAAAAAAAACCAAGCAGAAAGATAAAAGAAGGTGTTTTGACAAGTACATCTCAGCCGTATCAGCTGTATTGCTGACTTTGCCAACAGTGACCTGAAAGCTATGGCAAAAGTGAATACTTCTAATGATAATTTCTTTTATTTTTGTATCATTTTTCAGTATTTGAGGCATAAAATTTCCTATTTGAAGTTCAAGTGCCTTTTCCCAGATTTTGTGCTAAAACTAAGACCTATAAGTCTTCTTCTTTTACTCCTGCTGCTGCTTTTACTTCCAATAAATTGTTTTGTTCTAGTGTTTTATTTAGTTATGGAATACAATTAAACCACCTTACTTGAACTGAAGTTTATGTATTGATTTAATGCCAACTTTATAAGAATAAAAAATATTAGCAAAAGAATATTTTGCTTAAATTGGAGCTAGTCCAAACGCCTTAGTCCACCCCTTTTTTCATGGCAGTTATTAAGAGTGATAGAGTTAGAAGATCCTTAGGATTTAAAAATGTTTTGAGTTCACATGACATTATTGAATGTGTCTTCATGCAGGTCTGCTATAATCATTATATTACATCTGGATTTTCCACTGGTTGGGAGTGGTTTGTACATTGTTTGTTGAAAGACAGAAGGGATGGCATGGGCTTGGTTGCAGATAATGTAATCAAATATGATGTGCCTATAGCTGCAGGGTTGGAACACTAAGTGTTTTGATCAGTTCAGTAGAAAAGAACATTCATATCATTTTACTACGAGGATTGTTCCTAGTTAAATTTTTGATGTGTATTCAGAACCTCCAATAAAATATCAGATTAATGGTTTTTTTCCATGCTTTGCACGTATATACAGTAGGGAAAACAGTGACATACTTGAGTTCCAATTTTCAAAACTTCAAGCAAAGGCTATAAAATGTTAGCCTGTGAGCCACTTCTAGCTTTCAGGCACAGTTTAGTGCTATGAGACTGGAACATCAGTCATTTACATTTAAGACACATAAATGTACGTCAGTACTATTTGATTGTACATAAAGGATATATAAGGAACTGGTGACAGGAGGAAAACTCTCCCTTGTATCCTCTTAAAACTTTGAATATAGCAGTACATGCATGTATTTTAAAAATAAAATAATATGTTGAAAGAAAAGGTAAAACCAGAATATTATGTACAATTTTATATCAGCTTTTAGAATCTAGGTGTAATAGATAATTTGCTAGATAATATGAATTGTCAAAATAGACTCAAGTAAAGACAGCAACTGAATTAATCCATAATTATAAAATAAAAAAAATAGTTAAGGAGTTATTCCTACAAAAGGCATCAGGCCCAAACAAATGTACAGGCCAGTTCTTTCAAAACTTGAGAGAATAGGTAACTTCTGTGACACAGAAGCTGTTAAGGAAAAAACAATCCCAGTCCACAATATTATTAAAAAATGTATCAGCAAGTCCTCTAATGGTTAAAGAATTTTCTAAAAACAATAAAGCCTTATAGTGTAATTCTTAATTTTCTTATTTTCAGGTTCACCAGGCTGGTCTAACCTGTGATTATTCAGAACTTCCTCACCATATCAGCACAGAACAAGAAATTGAGTATCTTATTCAGTCTGTATATTATTTACTGAAAAATTTACCAAAACCTACTCTCGTGACAATTGCAAGGTAAGTGTGGTAGCCTGAATAGTGGTACGCCAAAGATGTTCACATCCGAATCTCCAGAACCTGCAGATATGTAACCTTCTATAGGAAAAGGGACCTTGCAGTTGTAATTAACTCAAGGATCTTGAAATGAGAATACCTTGGATTATCCAGTGGATCAATGTGATCACAGTCGTCATTTTAAGAGGGTCAGAATTCGAGAAATTGGAAGATGCTAGGCTACTGGCTTAGAAGATGGAGGATAGGGCCTCAGGCTAAGGAAGGCAGACAGCCTCCAGAAACTGGAAAGACTAACATTCTCCCCTAGAACCTAGAGAAGAATGCAGCCCTGCTAGCCCCTCTATTATAGGACTTCTCATCTCCAACAAGACTGTAAGGTAGTAATTTTGTGTTGCTTTAAGCTGCTAAATTTGTGGCAATTTGTTACAGCTGCCATAAGAAATTAATACAGTTTCCACAGGTTAATCTAATGATTACTATTACTAACCAATTTTTTACCTACTCAGCTCAAAATTCAGATGTTGTATTTGCTCTTTCCTCTTAGTGATGGTTGGCAAAAAACATACAATTCTTATTATCTTGTCTTTGAAGTTGGTGATACTATTCAGATGAACACAGGAATTCCTATTTCTTTGTCCTACAAATGAATATTTAGCTGCTGCCATTTTTTAAATTTGAACATAATTGCTGAATAGTTACAACAATTTAATGAAACTTTTCTGTGTTCATCTTTGGGCTGGTTTTGTATGGAACTATGAGGTTAGTACTTTATATATTTTATGACAAATATTTTGTAACCTCCTTTTACCATCCTGAAATGAAATTCATAGGTGATCTAACCTACATAGTTCATTCAGGCTGCATTAACAAACATACCATAGACCAGGTGGCTTATAAACAAGAGAAATCCATTTCTCACAGTCCTGGAGGCTGGGTGGTCTAAGGTAAAGTTACTAACAGATTCAGTGTGGTAAAGACCTGCTTCCTGGTTCACAGCCATCTTCTCCCTGTAAACCCCATGAAGGAGGTCTCTGGGGTCTCTTATAACAGCACTAATCTCATTCGTGAGGGGTCCACCCTTGTGATCTAATCAAAATATGATGACATTGAGGATTGGATTCAATATACGAATTTGGCGGGGACACAAACATTTATTCTATAGCAATAATATACCTGTACACATAATTTAAACATATGTTTATATGTGCGTACACACAAGAAAATCCTAACATAAAAGAAATAAAAGTAATTGATAAAATAATATGTATTAAAATGCCACACAAGACTAGCATCTTTACAAGGAGTCTCTAAATGTAACAGTTACAAATGCAGACAGATAATCACGTGATGTATTGGCCAAATACCCTAACAGCACTGCCATAGTGACATGTTTGTTTTTTTTTTTAAGTTTATTTATTTGTTTTGAGAGAGGGAGAGAGAATCCCAAGCAGGCTCTGCACTGTGAGCACAGAGCCTGATGTGGAGCTCAGTCTCACGAACTGTGAGATCATGACCTGAGCTGAAATCAAGAGTCAGATGCTTAACTGACAGAGTCACCCAGGTGCCCCATGTGACATGTTTTTTCTGGTCATAACAATTTCCTGGTAAAGTTCTAAGCTTAGAGTCCAATCTTCCCTCAATATACAGAGTAGTTGCATTCTTGGGAAATTTAGTTTATATTTAATTCATTTTCAAAAATACTTTGTTCATATGTAAAAGAGTATTAAATTCTAGGCTCAAAAAATTAAAAATGGTTTTCACTTATGTGAGTGCTCCATGAACTTTGGAAAAAAGTATGTAGGACACAGGACAAGTATTCATATTCACATTCATAGTGCAGGACTGTCCTGCATGTTGCAAGCATTTTAGCAGCCCTGCCCTCTCACCTTGGCCCTTCGGTTGTCATTGTGACAATCAAAAATGCACCAACAGATTTCCAAAACTACATCTTGAGGGTAGTTTGCATCAAGAACTACTCTGTTTTAAAGAAGCCAGAAAGCTTTGACTGATTGAGGCTTATAAATTAAACTTTTATATATGATACTGTCTTAAAGTAGGTCTTTATCCATATGTATATATTAGGTAGTATTTAATAATTTTAATCGCTCTGTCTTATTTATTGTGTTTAAATATTTACATCTAGTCTCAAAAATAACCTGATCACCAGAGAATAGAATGAGTTTATCAGAAGTCTCACAGATTATGTCTCACAGATTATTTAGGTCTAAAATACTTGTGACAAGGACTAAATAACTAATTCCATTTCCTTCTTTTCTTTTTAAGTTTTTGTGTTTTTTTTAAATGTTTTTTATTTATTTTTGAGAGAGACAGAGCATGAGCGGGGAGGGGCAGAGAGAGAGGGAGACACAGGATCCCAAGCAGGCTCCAGGCTTTGAGTTGTCAGCACAGAGCTAAACGCGGAGCTCAAACTCAACAAGCAGTGAGATCATGACCTGACCCAAAGTTGGACATTTAACCAATTGAGACACCCAGTCACCCCTTTTCAAGTTGTTTTAAATTTTTATTTATTTTGAGAAAGAGAGAGAGTTGGGGGGGGAGGGAAGAGGGAAAGAGAGAATCTCAAGCAGGCTACACACTGTCAGCTCAGAGCCCAGTTCAGAGCTCAGTCCCACAGCCGGGAGATCATGACCTGAGCTGAAATCAAGAGTTGGACACTTAACTGACTGAGCCGTCCAGACACCCCTCCATTTCCTTCCGTAAAGATTTCTATGCCACTCTTTCCAATCCATCCTCCTCAAATGGCTTTCCTCACCCAAGTCCAGAACCAGGAGACGCTGATCAAGTCATTTCAGAACTTAATCTGGCTATAATTTTCAGTGACACTGTAACTAGTTGGTAACTAAAGTTGTAGTTGGTGATTCTACAAAGAGTCACCAAGATACAGATTCCTGCCTTATCCTACTTTGCTCTTTTCTCCTTTATACCATCTAGGAAACTAATCCTAATACCAGCACATCTCCACATTTGATTCTGGATAATTCTGTATGCTTGTTAACAAATAGTTTGTAGAAGTAGAAACCTATTATCAGTTGGGAAGACTCTACCCTTGTAATTTCTAGCCCTAGTGTACCCATAATAAAAGGATAGGAAAGATGTCCACTCACTTAAGAACCCCCAGTATTTCCCATATCTCCCTCTAAGGGAAACAGCAGTCTAATGATAAAGCACTGAGGCTTTGAAGCGTGCTGTGTCATTTTGAATCCTGTCACTAGCACTTACTAGCTATGTGACTTATGCAGGTTAATCTTTCTGTTTAGATTCCTTTAAAGGGATAGTAAAAGTACCTATTTCATAGAGTTGCTGAGAAGATTAAAGAATATAATGTAATGTACCTGACATAGAGTAACTATTTAGTAGCTTCCAACTGTTATTATTCCAAAATTCAGTACATCTTTGTTTCTATTTTATATTGAAATCAACACATGCAGACTTTTCCTCACTGCACAGTATGATCACATTTATGTGTATTTTTCTTTTTCTTTCCCTTCTTGGTTCCAGGTCAAGTCTGGATGATTACTGTCCTTCTGAGCAAGTCGACACCATTCAAGAAAAAGTCCTTAATGTGCTGAGCTCCCTGTATGGGGCTGTAGACATTCACCTGGTGTATTTAGCAGAGTGTTCTCCATCTTGAAACAACAAAACACTAGGTTCCTATAACATCTTGATGTAATAACAGGGTTTTCATTAACTTATTATAAATGAGTCTTCCAGAGAAGACTTTTGTTTTTATATTAACTTTGTTAAAATCTTTCAGATAGTTTGAATCTCAAACAGATCTTATCAGTTGTTGAATGATGACAATTTTTTTTTTTTTACATCAGTTCTACGCTCCCCCCCTCCAATTAATTGTTGCTTATTTTTCTTCCTTTCCATCATAGTCTTCCTCATTTTGTGCGGGTTGTTTTTTCCCCCTAGGTCAGTTGGACTGTACAAAATTCATTCATTTATTCACTCAACCAACTGACATTTATTGAGCATTTACATGTGCTAAACATAATTAGGTGCTGGGTATATTGTGATGAACAGGATAGACAAGGCCCCCTGCCCTCTTAGGGGATGGCTAAGAAACAAATTATGGATTACGAGAAGTATTATGAAGGAGCAACCACAAACATGTCTTAGGCATCTTCTTAGTACTCAAGGCATCCTGGTAGGATAAGAAAGTAACATTCTCAAAAGCTACCAAAAAAATAAATAAATAAACTTGCTAGTCCATGAAAATGTTGCAGGAATCCTACCTTTCCAAGACTGTCAGGGTTGTGGTGCAGCTGTTGTGGCAAACTCACATTATTGTTGGTATGGAGAAGGTCTATTTGAGCAGTCAACAAAACAAAAATTTTCTTTGCTAATCAGAAAAGCCCTTCAGGGTTTTTGGTGCCTCCAGATGATCAGTATTGGCATCGATTATCGTTGTAGTTCCTAAGTGCCACTTTATTGGCAGTCTGGGTTGATAATTTCTTCAAATAAACTAGCTTTTAATGTAAATAGTAGAAAAAAAGGTAAATCCTTAATTCTGACCTACGGTAAATACCCAAAGACATATCTGCCTTCCACCAGCCTCCCCGTGAGGAAGAGACCCTATCTGAGTCCCTCTAAATCATAGAACTTTCCATTTGCTTAATTTACCAGTCTTCCCGTCTTCAGCATTCCCCATGTTCAGCAATTATTTTTCACTACGTAATATCTTTTTCTTTAAAAGGTAGGATGGCATTTAAAGGGGGAAAAAAAAACATCCATCCATTCCTCAGTCCTAACATAGCATTTGTTTTCATTTTACATGTTACTGTCAGGCCTTGACTACATGTGTACCTGTGCAGCTGCATGTAACTGCAATTGTATGTTACTTAACTTGATGGCTAATACCCAAGATCACATTACCATTGCCACTCAATAGATGGCACCAGATCCCATTTTTCCAATGATGCTATTTTCCTGCGAATTTTTCTCGTCACCAATTTCCCAAGGCTGATAGCGTGAATGCCTATTTCTGTTGTGAAAAGCAAAGCAAAGTGATTCAGCTTTCTATTTTGATAGAACATTATGTGCCAAAAAGTTTTCTCTGTAAAATCAGAATTGCAAAAGAGTGCTATTTATTTTTAAGTTTTGAAAAAATTTTATTAGAATTCTATAAACGGATGTTACTTTTATGAGTAAATTATTTTGTGTGCTAAAATAAATAAAAAGGTATGTTTTGAGATTTTAAAGATTTAAAACAAAAAACAAAAATTAAAAAAATAAAGATTTAAAATCAAACCGTAGCACTAGTTAATTGTGTATGATCTCAATGTGTTCATAGCACTGATCTTATGAGTCTGTTTCAGTAGTCATTTATTATAATTCCCATGAACTAGGATGTGACTCAAGCATCGTTTTAATTCAGGTGGAATAAAAGGGCACCAGGGGCGCCTGGGTGGCGCAGTCGGTTAAGCGTCCGACTTCAGCCAGGTCACGATCTCGCGGTCCGTGAGTTCGAGCCCCGCGTCGGGCTCTGGGCTGATGGCTCAGAGCCTGGAGCCTGTTTCCGATTCTGTGTCTCCCTCTCTCTCTGCCCCTCTCCCGTTCATGCTCTGTCTCTCTCTGTCCCAAAAATAAATAAACGTTGAAAAAAAAAAAAAGGGCACCAATTTCTATTTTAGGAACATTCAGATCATTTAGTTCTCATGCTCTGTAATTCTGTTTGAATGAAATTCAGTCCCTGTCTATTGACTGCCACCAATTTGGTAAATTATATCACCGGGCATTTCAAATAAGGTGTTTAGTTTAGGGGCACCTCGGTGTCTCGTTTGAGCGTCTAACTCTTGATTTTGGCTCAGATCATGATCCCAGGGTCGTGGGATCAAGCCCTAAGTCAGTCTCAGTGCTGAGTGTGGAGTCAATATTTAAGATTCTGTCTGTCTGCCTGTCTCCCCTGCTCACATGTCTCTCTGTCTCTCTAAAATAAAAAAAAAAAAATTAAAGATTAAAAAAAAAAGTTTATAAAGACATCCTTCATCTGTGTTCTAAATATCAATGAGGAATACCACAATACAGGGTTTTGGATTATATGCACATATCACTGACACATGAGATTTTGGCAAGTTCTTGAAAATGGACTTAAATGTAAGCATTGACTATAGCTTTGGTATTAACAAGTATATATTTCTCAGTATTGAGGAAGAAAAGTTTTTCTTTAGAAATATTTTCTGTATGGCCAACAGGCACATGAAAAGATGCTCAACATCCCTCCTCATCAGGGAAATACAGATCAAAACCACACTGAGAAAATCGCCTCACGCCAGTCAGAATGGCTAAAATGAACAAATCAGGAGACTATAGATGCTGGCGAGGATGTGGAGAAACAGGAACCCTCTTGCACTGTTGGTGGGAATGTAAACTGGTGCAGCTGCTCTGGAAAACAGTGTGGAGGTTCCTTAAAAAATTAAAAACAGATCTACCCTATGACCCAGAAATAGCACTACTAGGAATTTACCCAAGGGATACAGTAGTGAGATGCATAAGGGCACTTGTACCCCAATGTTTATAGCAGCACTTTCAACAACAGCCAAACTATGGAAAGAGCCTAAATGTCCATCAACTGATGATAAAGAAATTGTGGTTTATATACACAATGGAATACTATTTGGTAATGAGAAAGAATGAAATATGGCCTTCTGTAACAACGTGGATG